GGAGGTGATAACCTGAGGTGTGATAACATTGGGGAAAGGGGTGTGTGTGTGTGTGTGTGTGTGTTGGGGGGGTGTTGATATATATCTGGGGTGAGGGCTGTTACAATCAGGTTGTGTGATGACGTGGGGGAGGTGGGAGCAAGACCCCACGGCCCCCACTGTCATGAAGCTTACAGGCCAGTGGGGGAAGATGGAAGAGGTAAGCAGGTAATTAATTATATAATATGGGGCTAAATATGATGAGTGCATGAGAGGTAAGAAAAAAGTTCGGGGACAGGAAAAATTATTCTTGTCAGGTTTGGAGAAACTTCAAGGAGTAGGTGAAGTTTGAGGGTAGGATTGATTACTAGCAACTCAACTCCTCCTCCTCTGCCCCATAATAATAATTATTATTACCTGGGATTTGGTGATTCAGATGTATGGTTGGTCGTTTAGAGGAGTGGGTTAAGTACTTGTCTTTTGGTAGAGGTGAATGACTTGGAGTGGGCTTCAAACTAGACAAAAGACTGATTAAGGTAGAGATTTGGGGAATAAAAGGGTGTCTTGTTACCATCTTAGCACTTTGGCAAGTTCCTTCAGCATCAAGCTGGAGTTTGTGATAATGTGATAATCATAATAGTTGATTTATGTAGCCTTAAGATTTACAGATGTAAATTATCTCATTTGGAAAAATGAGATATTTGTAAAGCACGTTGCAAACTTTGCAAATCAAGGTATAAATGCTAGCTATTATTATTCTCCTCACAACAGCTCTTTGTGATAGGTGCTGTAGAAGGTATTATTCTCATTTTATAGATGAGGAAACTGAGGTTCAGAGACATTATGACTTTGCTGTATGACCACACACAACTAGTAAGCCTTGGGGATAGAATTCAAACCAAGGTCTCTCCTGACTCCCAAGTCTAGTACTCTTTCTAGGAGATCATACTGTCTCTTTTAAATGTGTGTGTGTGTGTGTGTGTGTGTGTGTGTGTGTGTGTACACAATATGTATATGTATGTATCATAGGAGATAACCATTTATACACACATGTATGTGTGTGTATGGATATACACCTCCTATACAGTGGAGCAGATAACACTGAAACATGGAAGAGCATGCTATTATACTGTTAGATTTAGGACATTTGGAAATGAACTCAGTGGATGCATGAATCCAATATTGATGGGTTCTAATATCCAAGCTTGTAGGGACTTGAATAAAATGGAGTTTTTAAGTAGCTATCAGTCTTAGGTTTGGAGCTGATTGGGGTAATCTCAGAATCTTTGGGGCAAAGTGGGGAAAATGGAGATATATATGAGAGACATGATTAGAGAACAGAAGGGAAATACTTTTTCAGATTGAATAACTTTTTTACCCCAATTCCTTAATTATGGGATTAGAAAGAGAATTTGCCAGGTGAAATGTTGGTATTTAGGAGAAAAGGTAATAATAAAATGAATAGAATATTAGACCTAGAAGGAGAATTAAAAATATCTCAGCCCCTCCCCCCATTTTACAGATCAGAAAACTGAGGCCTATGGAAAGTAAGTCACTTGACCCTGGCCACATAGCTAATTTTTGGCAGAACTTTGGCTAGAAGCCAGGTCTTAACTCCTAGTCCAGTCAGCTATTTTGCTTTGGGGTGGGGGGGGTGATGATATCAAGATCCCAGGGCATGTTTGAGCACCCAGTTGAGGGGTCTATACTCATGTCAGTGTATAGAAAATTATAATAATAGTGCTGGGTTCCAAATAAAGGAGAATAGTGGTTATAAATGTGGAAAAGAGATTGTACAGTTTATCTTCTTAGTAGAGTGGAGTCTGGTAGAAGGGAGCAGACAATTTCTTGGGTCCTTCAGGGTGTGGTAAGGAAGAACTGGATGCCAAAGGGGCAGATTACTGAGTCTGGGAAAGGATGTATCATACAGTAGCATACTGCACTGTCCCCAGGCTGGGAGGGACTGGACACCTGGGTTTCAGGAACAGATTAGAGAGGTGAGTGACATCTTCCATGGGCACTCGAGCTGAGGACTTTTGTCAGAGTATTAGATATGGAACAGAACCAAAGGCAGGGTAGGGAACTCCTTTTTGGCCCTATACCTGGGAGGGAAATTCTCATTGTTCCTGCATATGTACAAATATGATAAAGGAGCAAGAGTGAGGGACTTAGATCAAGACAGTATCTAAGACCCAAATGTCCTAAGTCTTTTCTGCAAACCCTTGGCTTCTCTTTAGGAAACCCCCTTAACTCAGCCCTATTCCCAACTACTTATCTTCTTCCAAGTACTTAATTAGTATCAGTTCCAACCTAATGCTCCTCCTGCCAAATCTCTTCTCCATCAGGGCTCTGCTCACTTCCAGCTAGAATATTTATATGATCCTTTGATCCTTCTCCTAGGTCTCTCCAGTTACTTTGTCTGCCCTTTGCTTTGGTTTTCTTATCTTGTACCTATACCTCTGTCCCATAACCTTTGGTTGCCACTGTAAGTGGGGGTGGGGGTGGGGGTGGCATTTGGAAGGCAAGGAAGCAAAGCCTTGTTAGCTTGTAGGACCCAACTTTCCACACCCTTTTTATGACCACATGAGCAAATTTGTGGTATGATTTAGAGACAGTGATGATAGAACTTGAAGGTCTGGAGCTAGTGTGGTTCATTGTGGGAAGGATTGACAACTGGGTCCTGTAGCTGGCCACCCATTTCCCCTAATTCTGTCTCTCCAGGAACACTTGGCTTTGGGACAGGAAGGGGGTGGGGTGGGGGTAGGGGTAGGGAGGGGGTGAAGAGTGAGCTGGGACAGGACGGTTGCATGTCCTAGGCAGACTGCCAAGAGAACGAGATGTTCTCCCTGCTCTGGCCACCGCCCTCCTACTGGCTGCCTCCCAAACCACTGCTTCTCCAAGCTTCCAGGCTCCCTGCCCCACATTCTCTGAGCCACTTCGCCCTGCCTGCAGCCTGCCCCCTTCCTCTGCTTTGACGTCACTCCTTTACCTGCCCCTTTTCCTTCCATTGACGGCAGCAGGGCTCTGTTACTGTGGGAACAATGAGACTGAATAGAAGTAAACTGGGCAGCAGGGAGGGAGTGTGGAGGAGGATTATGAGAGAGGAAGTGAAGGGGAAGGGAATAAGCATTTATATGGTGCCTACTATGTGCCAGGCACTGTGCTAACTTTACAAATATAATCTCATTTGATAACAGTTGGGTCACTGAGGAAGCTATAATATGGGTTGGTGGGGAGGGAGGGAAAGGGAATCCAGTTTGGAAGGTGGTAGGATTCCTAAAACCAAGGTTTCTGAAAAGAGCCAAGAATAGGAGTGGAGAGCTAGAGACTCTGATTGGGATAGAAATACCTGGGTCCCAGGAGAGAAGAGAAGTTGGTCAAGAGGAAACAGTAGTAGGGTATGTGTGTTGGGGTACAGGGAATTTCTTTAAGGGGAGACCAGACCTCTAGGAACCTGGGTTCTCTTTGTTCCCTTCTGACTGACAGGGTTACTTGATAACTTCTGAGCTTCAGTTTTTTCTTAAGAGACCTCAAGACTGCTGTATCCCTCCCTCTCACCCTCGTTATAAAAAGGAGACCATTGTTAAGGAAAGCTCAGTACATGTGACAGGGAGGGATTGATGCACCCCATGCCTAGTTATGTCAGCAGTTCTAGGGCCTTCTCCACATATGGCTATGTTTCCGGGGGTGGGGGCACTTTCATTCTTAAAAGTTTTCTAGCACCTGTACTATACTTCCCTCTCCATCTCTTAACCTTCATTTCTCACAACCTTCCAAGCCCTGAATTCATTCCTGGTACCCAGACATTCTCAAAAATATATATCTTCTATTTCTGGTTTCCAGACTCCTGATCACTCCTTTTCTTGGGTCTTTAGTCTCCTCTTTTTGTAGCTTTGGGGACCCAGATGTGTATTGTCACTGGCTTTTCCCCTTCTTTTTTAAAAAATTAAATTTTATTGATATCTTTTTGTTTTCAATGTGTTTTGTCATCCCCCCCGAACCATTCCACATATTTTTAAAAAGAGGAAGAAGAGAAAAAACAAATCAGCAAAACCAATCAATACATTTTACAAAATCTGAAAAGATGCAATGAATGTTTTGGCTTTCCTGGTTACTTCCAGACCCCATTCACTTTCCCCCCTCCAGTGGCCCTTCTGGTATAGCTATCTTTCATCTTGCTCTTAACCTCCCAGCTTTCTCAGCCTCAGTGTGGTGTCCTGGAGAACCAGAGAACAGAAGTCACTGAGTGGGCAGCTGGAGAGACCTTTTCTCTGATAGGCCATTGGGACATTTGCCTTTCCTAGTGGGGGTGGAGGGCATGTTTTGTCCCATATTCTGATTGGTTTTAGGTGCCTCTTGCCGGTCACCTTTCCTCCCTCCCACATACAAGCATCAAACCTCATTGGTTCTAGCTGCTCTTTTCTACTCCTGATTGACTAGAGATGCCCCTTACATTGTGTCTGCTCTGCCCACGGCTGCATACCTGAGTGGAGGTGACTCAGGGGTCTTAGCCAGGGTTACCTCCCACTCCCCCAGGCCTCTCCAATTTACTGGCCCCAGGTGCCCAAGGGGCTTGAAGTGGTAGTTGAAATCTGTGGAAGAGTACAGCCTCATTAGCTTGACAAGGGATGTATTCTCTCCTGTGCTCCACTGAATCAGTATCTTATCCATTCTAATTCTGAATCTCTATTCCCCTTCCCTTTTTTACCTTTTTCTGAGATCAAGGCATCTAGCTAGTCTTGCAAAGCCATGATCATTTACACACACACACACACACACACACACACTTGCCATTAGTCTTGGCTTTGCTTTATAAAACTGTATATTATCCCAGTGTACTGGGTCCTTCCGCCCAAGTGGCAGCACCCAGGTCCACGTGCAGCTGTGTGTGTAACAGCCCTGACCTCAGTGGGGGTGGCTGGCCAACCAGGCACCTTGCCGGGATCCTCAGCCAATCAGAGGTAGGGCCTATGCATCAGCAGGCAGGAAGCCAGTGATGGCCAATGCCTGTCATTATGCAACCCGCCTCTCTGCTTTTAGAGAAGTTCTCCTACCCCCGGCAGGGAAAGGGACTAGGCAGGTAGGGGCAGTAGAGATTAGACCCACCCAGCAGCACCCCTTCATTCTGCTTCGGGGCCTCTGCTCCCAGGCTACTTCCGGGATCCTCTGAGAATCCAGGGTTTGTACCTCACAAGTAAGTCTTAGTTTTTTCTGTCTCTTCTCTGAACCCCCAAATATTCCCCCCACCTCAATCCTTGGCAAGCTTCCTTTTTCCCACCAGAACTTATGCATGACTGACCTGTGTCTAATAGCTCTCAATACCATTCCTTCCAATATTGTGTAAATGTTCCTGCTAGACTCTTAAAACCATGATAACCATTGCCTTCCAGCACGAGTTTTTTTTTAACAGTTACAACTCCTTTCTTCAGGAATCTAGTCTCTCATTCTCCAACTCATCTTCTTGATTCCCCCCCCACCCCATTTTTTCGATGACCCTTGTTACCCTTTAAGAAGCCTATTTATCCCAGGCTCACAACTGCCCTTATGAGAGTCTCAACTTTTCTTAGGACCCCCAGAAGTATTCCTCCACTGGATTCTTCCTCTTCTGCACCCTCGCTTTGTTACCGCACCAGGAACTCCCTTTGGCAGTTTCTCCCCCATCCCTGGCCCAGTGCCAGTTGTGATGTCAGCTCAGGCTAAGGCTAGAACATCCCGTTCCCAGACCTAGTTCTTGCTATTGGCTGCAGCCTTCTTCCTTCTCCTGGCTTTGGTTTCGAAAATACTTGGGGTTGAGAGAGAAACATGGTTAGAAGACAAAAAGCGGGGGTGGGTGGGCAGAAAGGGAGGCTAGACAGATAAATAAAGGTTTGCTATGTTATGCCCTGCTCCAGCCTTAATGATATTTAGTGTCTTGGTTTTAGAAGAGCTAGAGAAAAGGAAGAGGGGAAATCTATGGAGGCTCTGGAAAGAAGAGCTGAATTCTTAGGAGATAGGGAGAAGAAAATAGCCACTAACATAATCCGTGGTTGTTTGGGGTTGAGAATCTTGTGGAGGAGAGGATAGAGGTTATCTTCTTCAGGTAGAGATTTAGCTGAGTTTCTTGGAACCTCCGCATCCATCCTGTCCCTTCCCAAAGTTCTCCAATCCGCTCCCAATTCCCTCCCCCCCAAATCTCCATTATTTCTGCTTTTTAGAGACTCGGGCAGCACAGTCTACCATAGCTCCTACTCCCCACTTGAAATGGTGTGTATGCTAAAGTAGTTGAGGGATGTGGGAGGTGAGGGTTGTGTACAACGTCCATTACTAACTGTTACTTAGGAATGCTTTGGGGTCTCATCCAGGCTGCATTTGAATCACATCTCCTGCTCATGTTTCTACTTCTACACATGTTTGCAGCAGGCACATGGGTTGGGGTGGGATCCCCTTTACCCCACAAAATGGGAGGAAAGAAGAAAAAGCAATCACCCTGTTTTTCCTCTTCCATTTCTTCTTCAGGGCCTCTGGGTTCCTCCAGCAACTGCTGAGCTCAGCCTCTGACGTGGGTTTCCCTGGTTACGATAGGGCCTTTAGCTGAAGTATGTGGCTGGTGGAGTGTGCGCATGTGCTTTGGAGATGGCCCCTCCTCCAGCCCCACCCCCAATCTCCTTCCCTCTCCCAAGATAAAATTAGCCCACGAGTCCTAAATATAGGAGCTACTCTCCCAGTTTCACTCCCCTTTCAAATAAAGGTGGATTCTTCTCTACAGATAACCCAATCACAAAGTCAGTACCTTAATGAGAATTGAGGGGAGATGCTCACATTCGACTCCCTCCCCGGGACCAGACTTGTTGTCTCAGGAATCTCAGGAGAAAGGATCAAAAGATCCCAGATCAAGAACTGGAAGGGACGTCAGTGATCATCTAGTCCCATCCCCTCATTTGACAAATGAGGAAACTGAGGCCTAGGCAGGTTGAATGACTGGCCTTAAGTGCATGCTATCTGCTTGTCCTCAAGGAGCTCACATTCTAGTGCGGGAGACAACCTGTAAATAACTAAGTAGATACAAGGTATACATAGAGATATAGATATACAGTAGAAGGAAGATAATTTGAGTAGGCAGGAGGTGGTAAGGAGAGGCCTCCTTCTGAAGGTGGGATTTGAGCTGAGCCTTGGAGGAGGTGAGGAGAACTAAGCAGTGGAGGTGAGGAAGGAGAACCTTTTAGGCATGGGGACAGCTAATGCAAAGAGGAGTGCAGTAAGTAAGCCAGTGTGGCTGGATCATCGGGACTAGGAAGGAGCCTTTAGAGAGTTTTGCATGTCAAACAGATGATTTATATGTTTCTGGATGTAATAGGGAAGTACTGGAGTTTGAGGGTGGGGCAGAGTGGCAGGGTCAGATCTATGTTTTAGGAGAATCACTTTGGCATCTGAATGGAAGGTGAATTTCAGTGGGGAGAGACTCAAGATGACTGAGTAGTCCAGAGGTACTGTGATGAGAGTGACAGTTGAATAAGCAGAGAAAAGGGAACATATGTGAGAGATATTGTAAAGATAAGAGCAAAATTTAACAACAGATTGGATGTGTAGGGTGAGTGTGAGTGAGGAGCCAAGAGTGATTGTGAGCATTGTGAGCCTGGCGATTGGGAAGACAGTGTTGCCCTTGAGGTTGGAAAGAAGGGAGGATTTGGAGATAAACAGAAGTCATCTAGGTTTGGACATGTTAAGTTTGAGATGCCTGAGAGACATCCAGTTCAAAAGGCAGTGGATGGCTAGAGGTCGAGAAGGAGAGTCAGGCTGGATCTGTGGATCTGGGAATCATCTGCATAGAGAGGATAACTGAACCCATGGGAACTGATGAGATCCCCAAACAAGATAGTGTGGAGGGAGAAGACAGATTGTTGGAGGACATCTGTGATTAGCAGGAGTGACCTAGATGAATCTCTCACAAAGGAGACTGAGGAGGAGTGGTCAGAGAGGTCGGGGAAGAACCAAGAGAGGGCAGTGTCAGGAAGACCTGGAGGAGAGAGTGTCTAAGAGGAGCAGGGAGATCATCAGTGTCAATAGATGCAGAGAGCTGAAGAAGGAAGAGAAATGTCATTCAGTTGGGCAGTTAAGAGGTCACACAGGTCATAAGTGTGAGAAGTGAGGATCAGCTCTCCCAACTCCAGAGCCACTTTCCACTGTGCCACATTGACTCCTCTCCACCGCCTTTAACCTACCAGCTTTCAGCGTCCCTTCCGTCTCAGTCTGTCCTGGAATAGAGTTTTTCAAGCATTACTGAAAATCAGCAGGGAAAGAATGTCCCATTTGCATAGGACTTTAAAGTTCACAAAATTAGTTATAGATAGTATAATCTTTCTCAGGCCATGGTATATACATTTGTGTAGTACTGCATTTGGAGCCAGAAGACCTGTGTTCACATATCAGCTCTGTTTACTGGCTGTGTGTAACCTTGAGCAAATTGTTTAGACTCTTCCATTTCCTCATCTATAAAATTAGAGTATTGAATTAGCACTCTAGTTTCTTCCAGCTCTAAAGCCTATGATCTGTGATGAATGTATATATGTTTAGAGAAGAACCTTCCCTGGAGTCCAGAGCAGGATCTGTTGCTATACCAATAAAGAAAGTAGAGTCAGAGAGAGAAGACTAAGAGCTTGAGGGGAATAGACAGTGGGACACCTTTGGGTATGACATGTGTGGCCTGAAGGCAGCTACCCCAAGTCTGAGCTTCACCTGGGTTTATGTGGTAGAGGTGGGAAGGATGATCAGCTGCCAGAGTAGAGGTAGAGTGGAAAAACCAAGTGCTAGAGGTTGAGAAGACTTCTTTCTCTCCTTCTTTTCCCTTCTTTCTCCATCCTCCAGGTTCCAGCAGTGGTCCCTCCCCACAGTCCTCACTGACTTCACCTTTTGCCACTTCTTCCCTCCTCTCTCCCTGACCGAGGAAACTCCTGCCTTTAAGGGCCTTGTTGTATTCCCTCGTGGTGGCCTCTTCCCCTTCACTGATTTTCTCCCCCTGTCCTCCCCATGGTACCACCATGAATGGCACTGTTGAGGGAGGCAGTGGGGCAGGGGGACCAGGCCCTGGGCTTGGTGAAGGGTTTGATTCAGGGGGATCCCAATCCCCTGGGCCCCCCGAACACAGAGCCTGCCCTGGTCCTGGCCTCGCGGATGATACAGATGCAAACAGCAATGGTTCGAGTGGCAATGAGTCCAATGGACCGGAGTCCCAGGGTACTTCCCAGCATAGTTCTCACAGCTCTTCTTCAGGCCATGGGAAGGACTCTGCTCTGCTGGAGACGACAGAGAGCAGCAAGAGGTAAGAGGAATGATGATGGGGTGATGGAACCCAGGGATAATGAGAGATGGGAATAATGGATATGGAAGTGGCTTAGGGATCTAGGGACTTGAAAGAATCAGAAACTTAGGAAAATGGCAGTCAGAGAGCTTGGGAGGGGGCAGAAGCTGGCTTTTGTTAGTAGGTTCTTGTGATACCAGGATGCTACCTACTGTGTGATGATGAGTGGCTAAACTTTTATCTTTATCTTTTCTGTCTTTTTATCTAGCACCAACTCTCAGAGCCCATCCCCTCCAAGCAGCTCCATTGCCTATAGCCTCCTGAGTGCCAGCTCTGAGCAGGATAACCCATCAACTAGTGGCTGCAGGTAATGGTGGGGATAGGGGTTTGAATATACCTGTAATCCTGGAGAACATCTGCCTGGAGGAAGAGCTTTATATTTACTCCTGTAGGTAATAGGGTGCTGCATTCTGGGTAGTTGATATCTCCTGTTCCCTCTACCACCTTCCTCCTCTGCAGCAGTGAACAGTCAGCCCGAGCACGAACACAGAAGGAGCTGATGACTGCCCTCCGAGAGCTGAAACGCAGACTTCCACCAGAACGCCGAGGGAAAGGCCGATCGGGGACTTTGGCCACCCTGCAATATGCCCTTGCCTGTGTTAAACAAGTCCAGGGTAAGCTAAAATTTGGTATTGATGTTAGACTGTAGAGCAGCGATTGTATTGGCAAAGAATCCAGGGCCTTGGAAGGAAGTAGGGGACATAGAGGGAATAGAAGTGAGAATGGGCTCAAGAGGGGCCTAGCAGTAGAAGGGGTTGAATTCAGGGGACGAGGGAATCAACAGGCTAGGTGTGGAAAAGGAGAGGCCTGCAGGATTCAAAGGAACAGTGTCTGGCACATAGTAAACATTACATAAAAGTCGGTAGTAGTAGTTGTTAATATTATTGTTCTTGTTATTATTACAACTGCAACGGGAAGGGGGCATTCTTGACCTTAACCTCACCTCCTCTACAGCCAAGCAAGATTACTACCAGCAGTGGAGCTTGGAGGAAGGACAGCCTTGTTCCATGGACATGTCTAGCTATACCTTGGAGGAGTTAGAACACATCACGTCTGAGTATACGCTTCGCAATCAGGTCAGCCCTAGACCCATCTAGTCCTTTTCCTTCCCTTTTCCTTCTCTCCTTCTTCTCTTTTTTTCTTTCCAGTCTTTTTCCCCTTCCCCTAGTCCTGACCTTAGTTGCTTCTTTTTCTTCCCTCTTCCTTTCTACCTTCCTTGTCTTGACTTTCCCTTCCCATATTTTTGGTCCCTACCTCTCTGGTGTCTGCTGTAACTATAAAGTGGGGATAATAACAGCACCTATCTCTCAGGGTTATTATGAGGATCAAATGAGATAATATTGGCCCAGTGCTTAGCACGATGCCTGGCACGTAGTAAGTGCTATATGAATGCGTGTTTCTTCCCTACTTCCTTTCCTTCTCTCCCTGCCTCTCAGTTCTCTTTCCTTTTCTCTTTAACCCCACTCCCTACTCTTCCTTCCCCTCACTGGACAACATTCTATTGATGATGGAGCTGGCCAGCTCCTGACCTTGGCCTTTTTTGGTTGTGCTTTCTCTTCTTCCCAGGATACTTTCTCCGTGGCTGTCTCTTTTCTCACTGGCCGGATTGTCTACATTTCGGATCAAGCAGCTGTTCTTCTACGCTGTAAGAGAGAAGTCTTCCGGGGTGCCCGATTCTCAGAGTTCTTGGCCCCCCAGGATGTGGGTGTCTTCTATGGCTCCACTGCCCCCTCTCGCCTGCCCACGTGGGGTTCCCGGGCCTCTGCCGGTGAGGACTGGGGAAATCTTGGATTGGAGGTGGGGCCAATGTGAAATGTGCAATAAAATAGTAGAGCAAGGGCAAGAAACCATGGTAGGAGTGAAGTTGATTAGACTCTTAGATTTCTAGCCAGGGAGGTAAGGGGTTCAGCATCCCTGCCTTTAGAGATCTCTTAGCATAGGGAAGTGGTCTGGGAGTTGGAGATGGCACTGATCCTACTTCACTGTCTCTCCCCAGGTTCAGGCCCCATGGATTTCACACAGGAGAAATCAGTCTTTTGCAGGATCAGGTAAGTTGAAGAAAAGAACAGAGCAAGGTGGGCAGAACAGAAATGTAGCAGGAAGGTTATTTATTTAGTGGCTATTTGTCTTCATAGCTATCTCTTGGTTTTAGGGGCCATGAGCTTGTGGTCTAAGGTGGTTGGGTGGATGAGCATCATGGATGGGAGAGTAGGGGGAGATGGGATCTATTCATTCTCCTGGTTCCTCCTGTGATGCTCGTTGTTTCACATCTTCCCCTGAAACCAGAGGTGGCCCAGATAGGGAACCAAGTGCCCGATACCAGCCATTTCGACTGACCCCCTATGTGACTAAAATCCAGCTTTCAGATGGAGCCCCAGCGCAGCCATGCTGTCTGCTAATTGCTGAACGCATCCACTCTGGCTATGAGGGTAAGTAGAAAGCAGTACTGAGGAGGGGTGATCCAGGGAGGGAAAGAGGCAAAGAGAATGGGGAAATCAAGAAAGAATTGGGTAGTAAAGATCAGGGGCATAAAATGTGGCCAAGGAGATCCAGTTATGTGTGACAGAAAATGCATCAGGCTTCTAATATGGAAGGAACCATTGAAAGGTGGTGAATTTGTCTCCCATTGGTTGTTTTTTTTTTTCCTTAAGAGTTATTGGAAGGGCAGCTAGGTGGCGCAGTTGATAGAGCACCAGCCCTGGAGTCAGCAGGACCTGAGTTCAAATGCGACCTCAGACGCTTGATACTCACTAGCTGTGTGACTCTGGGCAAGTCACGTAACTCCATTGCCTAGCAAAACAAACACACACAAAAAAAGAGTCATTGGAACATAGGCCTGGTTTTCTAATCTGACCTCACTCATTTTTAGTTCTGTGCCCTTGGGAAAGTCCAATAGCCTCATGTGCCTCAGTGGCCTTACCTGTACGGGGGGGGGCCAATAAGACCTTCCTAGCTTCAAGATAAAGGATTGAACCAGATAATCCCTTGAATTATTTTCAAATTCTAAGATGTGATTCTAGAAGAAGAGCAGAGGCTATCGGAAATGATATAGGACTAGGGAGGGTGGAGTTGTTTGGTGAGAGAGAGGTTGGTGTTGGAGTTATTGCCAGAGAACACTCCAGTTGATGATGATCGCTCCTGCCTTTTCCAGCTCCCAGGATTCCCCCAGACAAGAGGATCTTCACGACACGGCACACACCTAGCTGTCTGTTCCAAGATGTAGATGAGAGGTGAAGCCTTAGGGAGAGGGACTTACTGTCAAGATCTTTTTTTTAAATAGTATTTTATTTTTTCCAATTACATGTAAAGATATTTTTCAACATTCATTTTTTATAAGATTTTGAATTCCAAATTTTTTTTCCCTCCCTCCCTCCTATCTCCCCTCTGCAAGATGGCAAGCAGTCTGATATAGTGCCAAAATCCTTGAAGATAGGTGGGGTTAGAATAATAACAAAAGTTCCTGGAGCTAAATAGGACTGGACAGTGGGGTCCCCTGGGAATATGGAAAATCAAGAGTTTGGGACTGAGGTCTCTTTCAATGATGCCTCAACTTCCAGGGCTGCCCCATTGCTGGGATACTTGCCCCAGGACCTGCTGGGGGCACCAGTGCTCCTTTTCTTACACCCTGAAGACCGACCTCTCATGTTGGCAATCCACAAGAAGAGTAAGTCCCCAAAGGGGCCTATCCTTTTCTTTCCCCTTGATAGCACTTTCCTGCATGATGCTGTTCTTTTCTGCTGTCTCCTTCAGGCCTTATTCTCTGACTGCTTAATCTTTGCTTGTTGCTGCCTAGCTCTTTGCTTTTTCTTCCTTTTTTTCTAGCAGCTCCTCTCTCTGCACACCTCTGCCTCTGACATGCCTTTTCTCCCTGTATTACAGCCCTCAGCTAACTCTATTTCCTTTGTTGCTTCCACCAACTTATTTTCCCTCTTGATCATCCTGCAGTTTTGCAGCTATCTGGCCAACCTTTTGACCACTCCCCTATCCGCTTCTGTGCCCGAAATGGGGAATATGTCACCATGGACACCAGTTGGGCTGGCTTTGTCCATCCTTGGAGCCGAAAAGTGGCCTTTGTTTTGGGTCGACACAAAGTTCGAACGTGAGTATCCTGTAGGGTGAAGGAATGATGGAGTGGGGAGAGGGAGGGAAGATAAACTGGAGAATGGGTAAACTGAGGATCCAAAAAGTTAAGCAGACTTGAAGAATTTGGGAAGCAAGTGGCAAAAGGTGGAATCAGGAGCCCTTCTTCAGTATTCTAGCTTCACACTCTCTCCATCTCTCCCTGTCCTTCATCCTTTCTAAACCTACTCTCCATCCTCACCACAACTTCTGGTGAGTATTCCTCACTGCTTTGTCAAGCTGTCATCTTTGCTCTAGCCTTGCTTTCTCCCCTTCAAAATCTAGGCACTTTAGTTTACTAGTTCAACTTTATGATAACTTCTCTTCTTGAATCTCTTATTGACTGTCCTATCACCCCTCATCCCTTTCTGTCTGCCAATCCTAAATAACTCCTACTGTCTGACCTTTCTACTCCTGGATGCACCCCAATCCTTGGTCCTTCCCTCTTTCTATGTCGTTTCATTAATCTCAGCAGCTCACCCGAATTCAGCTTTAATTTGATGTAAGATAACTTTCAAATCTATATATCCAACGCATATCTCTTTCCTGAACCTCAGTCTTGCTTTGTTAACATGCATGCTGTATATTCCTACCTGAAACTCTACTGAGGCATCTCCAACTCATGTCCACAACAGCACTGACCATCTTCCCCCTTAATCTACCTTTCCTCCTAATTTCCATATTTCTGTCAAGGGTACTATCATTCTCAGTCTAGGAGTCATCTTTAACTCCTCTTACTCATTCCCTTTCCCTTCACATTTGATCATTTGCTAAATATTCTTGATTTTACCTCTGCATCTCTTGCGTCCCTTTTCTCTACTTATTCCATAGCCACCCTAATTCAGGCCCTCATCACTGGGACTGATCCTCCTAAATTGATTTCCTTGTTTCCAAACACCTGTCAAATTCATATGCTTTAGTTAAGGGACTGACTGTGTCATTCCCTTGCTTAAAAAGCTTGTGACTGTCAGTCGCCTATAGAATTAAGTACAAATGTGTTGGTTTAAACCAAGTTCCTTTATCTGTAAAGTCCTGTACATCCTCTATCTGCTTTATCTTTCCCATGATAATTGCACATTACTCCCCTTCATATACTCTGTGCAGTGGCCAAAATGCTTGCTGTTCCTAGACATGATATTCCATCTCCTACCACTGTGCCCAGGCCATTCCCCTTGTCTGGAATCCAATCCTTCCTCACATGTGCCTGATTGCCATTTAGAGTGTGTGTGTGTATGTGTGTGTGTGTGTGTGTGTGTGTGTAGAGTATATATCTGTGAACTTGTATTTTCCCCAGTAAATTGATTCTCTGTTTATTCCTCCCCAGGGCTCCCCTAAATGAGGATGTATTCACTCCACCAGCCCCTGTCCCAGTCCCCTCAAGAGCTATGGACCCAGACATCCAGGAGCTCTCAGAACAGATCCACCGACTGCTGCTACAGGTGAGAGGAAATAGATGGAATTGTAATGAAAGAGCTGCTGCAGGCTTAGACGACCCCCACCCCCGCCCCCAGCTTTGGAATTTTTAAGCTTTCTCATTACTTTCTTCTCTTTTTCCTCCCCAGCCAGTCCACAGTATGAGTCCCACAGGGATGTGTGGATTAGGCCCTCCAACCTCTCCAGGTCCCTTTCTAAGCCCTGGCTCATCCAGCGACAGCAATGGTGGAGACACTGATCATCCTGGGCCCCCTGCTCCAGTGAGTGCCCTCCCTGTTCGTACCTCTATGATGATGGTATTGATAATTAATAATAATAATAAAATAATCGGTGTTACCATTCTTGTTTGGCTGCTACCTCTTTCTGGCCCCTAATCTTTCTCTTTTCTCACCAACTGTCTGTCTCTGGCTGCCTGTCTCAGTGTCATTCTCTTCTCTTCACAGTGTATTCTTTCTTGGTATATCCCAAATAATCCCAGTTCTATGGCCCTCCCTTCCAGGTGACATTCCAGCAGATCTGTAAAGATGTGCATCTTGTGAAGCACCAGGGTCAACAGCTTTTCATTGATTCTCGGTCCCAACCCAACTGGGCCCCATGCACAGGTGAGAAAATGGCTAGGCTTGGCAGGACAGGGCCTGGAAACCAAAGAGGGACAATCTCTGAGGAACAATCACACCTACCATAATTTTCTACTTTTGCTGTTCCCAGCCCCAGATACTTTCAAGACCAGGGACCTCCCGGGCAGACCCTTGGAACCAGGCCCTGGCTCGAACCAGGTTCCACCTCTTGCGGTCAGTACTACCCCTGAGGATTCAGAGAGAAAAGAGCCATCCAGTTGTTCCTACCAGCAGATCAATTGCCTGGACAGCATCATCCGGTATGGATACTACTTCTCTCAGTGCTTCTAACTCCCCTAGGATGGCTTACCTTTTCCTGTCCCCATCTTTCACTCTTATCATCCTTATATCATTCTGTTAAGTTGTCCATGAACCATACTCCACGTCTGTCCACATACAGCTCCAGCTTAGTTCATTTTCTCTCTCTATCCCCTCAGTTACCTGGAGAGCTGTAATGTCCCCAACACAGTGAAGAGGAAATGTGCCTTCTCATCCCACACAGCATCTTCCACATCTGATGATGACAGACAGAAGGCAGGCCAGGGTTCTGGAGTGCCCAAGAAAGGTAAAGAAGCCATATACTTCAGCTTTGCCCTTCCCCGGGTCCCTAACCATTTGCTTTCCTCCCCCAGCCTCCCCAACATGGGACTCTTCTTTTCTGATCCTTCTCTCTACTTAGTGTTTCTCTGTCTCGTCTCTTCTCATCTCCCCCTAACTCTACCCACCCACCCTGTCTGATTTCTGACTCCATGCCATCTTGCTCTGTTTTCTTCCCCTCTTCCTAGCAACACATTCTGTCTGATCTGTGGCCATCTTTTATCCTCTTCTTTTCCTTGTTTCTTCCCCTAGTTTCCCTTTCGGCCCCTTGATGTTGTTTTCTTTCTGTGTGGTCTTCTTCTTTTCCCTTCCCCATACATTCATGGAGATGGTTTTCCCACACTTCCCCCAACCCTTTTGGTGGTCTCTTTATATTTCCACTTTGGGATCTGCTCCCTCTTTGTTGCCCTCTTCCATTAATGCATTTCCCATTCCCATACCCACTTTCATCCCACTGCACCTCCTAACTGGTGCTTGTCTCTCTGCACAGATCCACCAGAAGAGCTGTCTCAGGAGGGGGCCCCCCTCCAGAAGGAGCCAGTGGTGGGAGGTCCACTGACCCCACTCACCCTAGCCAATAAGGCGGAGAGTGTGGTATCCATCACCAGTCAGTGTAGCTTCAGCTCTACTATCGTCCATGTAGGAGACAAGAAGCCCCCGGAGTCGGGTATGGGGGGTGTGGGTTATTGAAGGGGGTGGGCTAGAGTCATGGGTTGGCTGGGCAAGTTCTAGGTTCCAATACTTTTGTAGTGGAATATTTGCTCTTCTGTTTTTCCTCTTTCGCCCCCATGTGTTCTGATAATTTCTAATATAATTCTGGATCAATTTATTGGAATGGGGATCTTTTGGGGTCCTGACTGGCATTTCCCCCGAACTTTCTGCCTTTTTTGAACCTCTCAGTTAATCCTTGCTCTTACTTTTCTCCCATCAATTTAAAAGGAGTTCTCCTTTTAGCCCCAGAACTTAACCCTGTATGCTGTGGCTTCTTATCTGTGGCCTTTCCCTCCTCCCAATCTCTACCCCTTACCCATTTTGTTTACATTTCTCTTTTTTCATAAATTTATTATCCATTAAAACTACTGGGATAGAGAGCAGGGAGATCAAAGATCAGAGAAGTGACAGTGGCTAGAACTGGAGAGAAGATAATAGGATCATGATGCCAGAGTCTCCTCCAGTGATGACTCTGGAAAAATAAAAGTATAACCCCATAATGAAATGGAAAAAGTGATGTCATAAGGAGACCTTCTTAATAGGATAAAAACTGCTGAAATGAGCCAGAACATTCTTTTTCCCTAGAGAACTCTGCACAGGGAAGAAACCCTCCTCCAAAGGGCTGGACCCAAGGTTCATCGTCCCACATGTGACCAATATAAACACTCAGACTGAAGTGTTTGGAGGAGGGAAGATGATGATTCTTGTGGGTAAAAAAGGAGTTAGGATGTTGACTTGGAAAGTGGGACCCTATGGAATAAGGAGGATGGGGAGAGGTAAGGGCTTTGGCATATTTGAGAAATGAGGAGAGAGAGAGTAAAGTCAAAATGGTGAATGACTATGTGAGGCATGAATCCTGTTTGAACTCTCCTCTACTTCTTTTTGACCTCTTCAAGATATTGTCATGATGGAGGAGCTGCCTGGCCTGACCTCTGGTCCAGCTCCCAGCCCCACAATGGCTGCTCCTGACCCCACTCCTGATGCCTACCGCCCCGTGGGATTGACCAAAGCTGTGCTGTCGCTTCATACACAGAAGGAGGAACAAGCCTTCCTCACCCGATTTCGGGATCTCAGCAGACTCCGTGTCTTTGACAGCCCTTCCATGGGGCCTTCACCCCGGGTTGATCGAGGTAATTTCACCTCTGGGCCTCTCCCTACTAGCAGCTCTTGAATTTATCACAGAAAGAGGCGATGTCTAAAATGGCAATGTTGCTTGTAGAGTGTCCAGCTTGAGGAAGCATGAGGTCTAATGTAACTTCATGTTCATAGGAACTAAAGGGTGGTGGGTTAGGAAGAGAGACGAGGTTAGCCCAGGATAAGAAGGAGGGTGTTAGATGGGTTTGGAGGAGAGGGTAGAATCCCAACTTGTGAGAATGTGTGGTTTGAGGAAAGAAAACAACCCCACCCCCAATCCCTCTCCTGCTTTCTCACTTAGAGGGGAAGGGTCCTAGGCTGCAGCAGGAGATAATGGAAGGGTTTTTATTAGTAGAGGAAAACCTAAGAAATTGTTCTTTGAGCAATATCGCTGTTATTGTATGCAGTGTTCTCTTGGTTTTGCTCATTTCACAATTTTTGTTTTGGTGAGGTAATTAGGGTTGTGAGTTGCCTGGCGCCACACAGCTAGTGTCAATGTCAAGTGTCTGGTCTGAGACCGCATCTGAACTCGGGTCCTCCTGACTCCAGCGCCGGCGCTCTATTATTTCACTCTTTATTATTTCCTGCAGGTCTTTCCATGGTTTTCTAAAGCTAACCAGCTCATCATTTCTTTTGGCATGGTAGTATGCCATTACGATAGTGATTTAGAGCATTTTTTTTCATATGAATATACATAGCTTTGATTTCTTCATCCAAAATCTGCCTGTTCATATCCTTTGACCATTTATCAACTGGGGAATGACTCATATTCTTACAATATTGACAAAGTTCTCTATATATTTGAGATATGAAACCTTTATCTGATAAACTGTCTAAAAACATCATTTCCCCCCAATTTTCTGCTTTTCTTCTAATCTTGGCTACGTTGGTTTAATTATATAAAAACTTTAACGTAATCAAAATTAACCATTTTAAATGGTTGAACAAATTGTGCTATATGATTGTGATGGAATATTATTGTGCTATAAGAAATGATGAGCAGGATGCTCTCAGAAAAACCTGGAAAGACTTACATGAGTTGATGCAAAGTGAAATGTACTGTGTACAAAGTAACAGCAATATTGTAAGATGATCATCTGTGAATGACTTAGCAGTTCTCAGCAATACAGTGATCCAAGACAACTCTGAAGGACTTATGATGAAAAATGCCATCTCTCCCCAGACAAAGAACTGATGGTGTCAATACAGATTGAAGCATACTTTTAATACTTTCTTTATTTTTCTTGAGGTTTTTTTTTGGTCTGTGTTTTCATTTACAACATGACTAATATGGAAATATGTTTTGCATGAAGTACCTATATTGAATATATTTGCATGATAACCTATATCTAATTGCTTACCTTCTCAATGAGGAGGGTGGGGAGGAAGGAAGAGAGAGAATTTGGAACTCAAAAGTTTTAAAAACGAATGTTAAAAATTGTTTTTACGTGTAATTGAGGAAAAATAAAATACTAAATAAAATTTTTTTAAATCCAAAAAGAAATATCCATTTTCCACCTCACAGTTCTTACTATTTCTTAATGAATCCCCATTCACACCTCTCTTCCCTGCCTCCTGTGATGCTTCTCTTGAAGCCTTCTTCTAATTCAGCCCCTCGTCTCCCTAGAACTGCTCCCCTCACCCATCTAAACTGGAAAGTGATGTTTTTGGACCTTCCCTAGGTTGTGTCTCAGTTCCTTTTTTGTGACTCCAGCTTGTCAGAGTAGCAGCAGTGGGTTAAAGTGGAAAGAACGTGGAACTTCAAGCCAGGAGACCAGCATCCACATATCGATTCCAATATTTACTAGTTGTGTGACCTAGAGAAGGACATTTAATCCCTCCTAGCCTCAGTTTTCCCATCTGTAAAAACTAATACTTGAAGTTCCAACTCCACAGGGCCGTTGTGAAGAAATTGCTATGTAAATCATGACGTACTGCCTGAATGAATGGTCATTGTGATGGTAGTAGTGGGTGAGGGGGCATTTACCAGAAGAGGCGGCAAGTCCACTAACTTCGCTTTCTCTTGCTCTTTCGCAGGCTGCTGCCATGGTCCCACTCCTCCTGGCCGTCGCCACCATGGCAAATCAAAAGCCAAACGTTCTAGGCACCATCAGCTTCCTCTGACTGAGGCTCCTGGCTATACCTCTCATCCTTCCCCAACACCTCCCACCACTCCATGGCCCTCTCAACCCAACCCACCCACATCTGCTGCTTTCCCAACAGTGGTGCAAACCTATCCCCTCCCCATTTTTTCAACCAGAGGTTGCCCCCAACCTTCAGTTCCTACGCCATCTCCTTCACCTTTTTCTTCCCCCTTGGTAGCCCCTATGGTGGCCTTAGTCCTACCCAACTATTTGTTCCCTTCTCCCCCCACCAGTTACCCCTGTGGGGTTCCTCAGGCTCTGTCAGATAGGCCTCTTGCCCCAGCACCCTGTTCACCTTCCCCAACTTTACCTCCTATGCCACCTAGCCCTCCCCAATGCCCTGATTCACCCCTGTTCAACTCACGGTGCAGTTCCCCACTCCAGCTGAATCTGCTTCAGCTTGAGGAGACTGCCCGGGGAGAAGGGGGAGCAACAGTTGGGGAGCCCGGGAGTAATCCCAGACCACCCCCTCCAGGAGAGGAGGCTACACGGCCAGAAGCTGGACTGGTAAGCATCTTCCCACAGATTTTCCTCTTTATCATATCTCCTTCTAATTGTTTCTATCTCCCTGGTGGTAACTAATTCTGGGTCTTTGTATCTATCTGTTGAGGTCTCTTATTTTCCATCCCCTTTCAGTTTTTTTCCCCTTCTACTCTCATGTCAGTCTGTCTCTCCAGTGACCCCCCCTCACACACACATTCCTCTCTGTTTCCCACCTCTGCCTCCCTCCTCTCTTTCCCTTTTTCCTCCCATTTCTGTTTCTTGTCCCTTCGTCTTTTCTGCTTAGCCTGAGAATCTGGAAAAAGTAGACTGTAGAGTGTCAATTCCTCAAATTCCTCAAGGCCATGGACTGTTCCTCTTTTTGTCCATGTATCCCCAGTGCCACAATGTTGCTTAAGACATGCTTCTTGAATTGAGGAGGGGATACTGAGTTTGGGGTCACTTGACTATTCAGGAAGGAGAGGAGGGGCGTGAAGGGGAAGAACTTGACCAGCACCATCACCAAGTCTGAGCCTCTGATTTCTGGTCCCCTTCCCACACTTGTCTAGGTGGAGATGAACGAATCCTCTAATCAGGATGCACTGTCAGGCTCCAGTGACCTCTTGGAGCTGTTGCTCCAGGAGGACTCCAGATCTGGCACCGGCTCAGCTGCATCGGGCTCCCTGGCTTCTGGCTCTGGCTCCCGTGGTGGGAGCACCTCAGCCAGCATCACTCGTAAGTACTGGGGCCTTCTTTTCGTGGGAGTCCTTTTTTAGGAGGGGGACATTATTTGGTCATCTTCCCTTAAGATGAATAATCCTGGCTCTCCACCCATGTCCCTCCCTTCCCCTGAAGTCACTGGTTCTCTCTTTTTTCCCCTTTTAAGACAGAAAGACTTGGCTTCTCTGACTCTTCTTTTTCTCTTTTCCTCAGGCAGCAGCCAGAGCAGCCACACCAGCAAGTACTTTGGGAGCATAGACTCCTCTGAGGCTGAGCCAACAGGGACCCAGGTTGGGGTGGACCCAGGGGCAGGACCTGGGGAACAGGTCATTAAGTATGTTCTGCAGGATCCCATCTGGCTACTCATGGCTAATGCTGACCATAGGGTCATGATGACTTATCAAGTGCCGTCTAGGTAAGAAACTTGGGTTGGGCAAAAGGAGGAAGGGGAAAGTCAGTCCCAGAAGGGGGAGGACTTGAGAAGAAAGAGGAATAAAATATGAGGAGGGAAAAGTCAGAGGATGGTAAGGGCAGGGGCAAGTGGAGTTTTATGTAGAGAGAGTTGGTAAGGTCTTAAGGGGAGGAGACACCCACATATTCCTAAATACTGGAAGATGTGAGCAGGTCTGATTTCTAGACCCTACACTTACAACTTTACTCTATCCTTTCCCATCTTGTAGGGATATGGCTTCAGTTTTGCAACGGGACCGAGAGAGGCTTCGGGCCATGCAAAAACAACAGCCTCGGTTTTCAGAAGAGCAACGTAGGGAGCTGGGTGCTGTGCATGCCTGGGTGCGTAAGGGCCAGCTGCCCCAGGCCCTGGATGTGATGGTGAGAAAGAGGGGTTAGGGCAGAAGCACAAGAAGGTCTTAGGGAGATGGGGTAACACTCTAGGAGTGGGAAGCAAAGGGGGGAACTAGTGAGAGAGATTTTGGGAGATCCTAACACTGTCTTCTTCCCTCCCCAGGCTTGTGTGGATTGTGGTAGCAGCACTCCAGATCCTCAGTACCCAGATGACACACTTTTCCCTGAGATGGATGGACTGGGGCTAGAGCCAATGGAAGAGGATGGGGGTGGGGCTTCCCCAGACACAGCCATGGATGAAGAGGAGCAAGGTGGGGAGACATCTACTTCCGAATTACCTGCTCCGAAAACCACCAGCTAAACACTCATCTCGGGGCCACTGAGAGTGTCCTGGTCTTACCTCTGTCATTGAGATAGGGGAAGGAACAAATGAAACGCTTCATCCTCAAGACAACAACGAATTTCAATTTTGAGATTTGCTTCTGCCTTTCAGGAAGCCAGGGATAGGTACCCCTGAATATTGGCCCTTTCTAATTAAACAATCACAGTCCTGCCTCTTCCTTAGGGACAACTGAGGGCTTTTTAGGGACCAGCCAGAAATATTGTCTCCCTCTTCATCTTATTGGAGACAATTCCACCAACAAAAGAATGAATCCTGCTTAAAAAGTAGGATATTTTTCTAAATTCCAGCTGAGCAGGAATACTGATTGCTGCTTCAGATGTGGGAATTCTAATAATACTTATTTATTCGGGAACTCTCTTTGTCTTCTCAAAGGCCTGCTTCCCTCCCACCCCCTACTTGGAGAGGGGGGAAGGGAGAGGTTGGGCATAGGCCCAAGCAGGACCTCGGTATCCAGATCCCTAGCTCTCTTGGGTTGGGGAAAGTAGAGGACTATGGGTCCCTGGTGCTGCCGCCCTATAGGGCGGGACCCAGGTGTCTTCATCTGTGCCCCACTCCCCTTAGTGTATTTTTGTGTTTTTGATAGTCATGTCTGTCTCTTTTGATATAAAATGGAAAACCTGTAACTTGACATTGTGGCATGAAATCTGTTGGGGAACCTGGGCTTTTCTGTTGTCACTTTAGTTGTCTTCAATTTGACAAAAATTTAAATATCTGCCAAGCAGATAATTTCAAGATTATAATCTAATTGGGGGAGGGGTGTGTGCAAGAGTGTACCAATCCTGAGCTGGCTGGGGCTTGTGGAGTTTACAGCTGAATAGAGAAGAAACCAATTAGCTGAAGGGAGGGGCATGGTATGTAGAAAAGACTAGTTTCCAAATCCTAATATTCATAGGTTCATAGATTGTTGAAACTGAAAGGGCCCTGAGATTCTTCCCATCTCCTCCCTTTTATGGAGGCCGAAGCTGAGGCCCAGGGCATGATTTGCTCAAGGCCAAACAGCTGGTGAGGGCAGAACTGAGACTGCCACCTCCATTTTAGTGCAGTGCTCCCATCACGTGCCTATCACCACCACGCTAAGCACAAACACTCGGGTGACCAGGAGCTGGGCTGTTTGCTCTGTCTCTGGTGGAGTAAGTAGGAGGAGACTAGCCATAACTGCAAGCAGCAAGAGGCTGGTGAGGAGGCCCGTCTTCCAGCAGCCTCCTACCTTCCTTTCCTAACAGGATCTGGACTCTCAGGTGGAACATCCTGCTTTCCCTGAGACCCCAGAAGCCACCAGGATGCAACTCTCCATTGTAAGGTGGGGGGGCCTCCCAGGTTCTAGATCTAGTACCCAATCACTGCAATGCTGTGCCACATTTTTTTTCTGTATCACTCACCCAAACATGGAAACCACATGACTTACCCTTGCTTGATACCACTACCACACCCTCAGAATTGACGCCTAACTATTGAGAGGAGTGGAGTAGGCTTTGAAAGAGCTACCAGACCTTACTCCAAAAGGAAAACACAGAATCTACCAGGTCTGTGGTGTGAGCCTTTGAAGGTGAGAACAGGGAGGGAGAGTGGGATTTTCGTTGTATGTGATAGTTGCTGGATCGACAGAGGGACATATCACCAAAGAGAAGGAACATGGGGACTAGATGTGTGTGTGGAGAGGGGAAGAGGAGGGAGTGGAAATAAAACCCTACGTCTCAAACTGGCAATGGAGCGCTGCCCTACAGAGAGGAGCTTTGGAAAGGACTATATTCTTTTTAGTCCAAAAATATTTGTTTAATGAATGTCCACCATGTTCGAGGCACTTCTAGGCGCACTAGGAGCCCTTGAACCCTCTCTTGAGCTCTCCAGGAACCCTGAACATCCAATCGGCAAAATGATTCTCCCCACCCCCCCATAACTGTTGTGGCTTATGCGCCTGCCTGAAAAATAACAGCTCTCTGGGTTCGAATCCCAACCGCGCTGCATCTTGGTAAAGGGCATCTCTGGTTTATTGCTGCTGCAGTAATTGCGCACGCTCCGGCTCAGTTTGAGATGAGCAAGGGCTCCCCTCTCCGATGGGTGAGTTCAGTTCATTTGTGCCAGATCCTTGTGCCTGGGACTTCGAGAACTAAGCTATGGGAATCCCACTCTTGGCCCGAGTGAGAGGGACTGGGGAAAGTGAAGGGCTGGATGCACACCCCGCCCCCAGCTTCCTTTCTTCTGCGGCTCTCCGTTGTCATGGAAACATCATGGGGTTTTTTTTTGTGTGTGTGTGTGTGTGTGTGTGTGTCTGTCTGTCTGTCTGTCTGTCTCTATTGGTCCCTCGTTGCCCAGGGAACGCCGTGCGGATGGAGGCGCTGGAGGGTACTAGAAGGGTGGGTAGGCAGGGGCATCTCTGAAGCATTTAGGATGAGCTGGGACAGGACCACAGGTGCGCAGAACTCAGTAGGGGATGGAAGTCCGCGGCGCCTGCCTAGAGATTCTCCAGAGAGAGACTAAAAGGATGGAACTAAAGGTAAAGGGAAGGACAGACGGGAAGAAGGCGTATTGATAGATTGGTATAGATGGGGAGGCATAGGACTTCCCGAGCTGTGATGGCCGAGTGGTTAAGGCGTTGGACTCGAAATCCAATGGGGTTTCCCCGCGTAGGTTCGAATCCTGCTCACAGCGTCCCAAAGACGTTTTGGGAAATAATAGGCGCTCTGATTTGACGCGTCTCTTTCACTTACCAGATATAAACGCCCTAAATGTCATTTAAAAGTGATAACTTAAATGGTTTAAGCGCTCCCTGCTTCTACCGTTCTTGTGTCCTTGTCTTTCTGTTCCCGGCAGTCTTCAACCTTTGAAAAGATAAAAATGTCTTTGTTGATGCTTTTTGTGTTGTTACATCACAGGCATTTCCAGATAGATCCCAGTCACCTCTCCCAGTATTTAAACCTTCCCTTATAACAAGAAAAAAATTTATGGAGTCACTAAATAAATATAACAGTTTGCTTCCATAGTCCCCCAGCTCTCTGCCAGAAGGATCCTTCATTTAGAGCTGGAAAGGACACCAGAGTCATCTAGTCTGACCCTTATATTTGCACAGAGGAAGACCTGAGGGATGAGGTTCAGTGATTTGCCCAAGTTACACAGTAAATAAGTGACACAGACTTGAAATCAGGTCTTCTGAATCCAAATCCAGTGTTTTCTTTTTCTTTTTTTAAATTGAATTAATTTTTTTTTCAATTAACAAAATTCTGTTTTTCCTCCCTCCCAACTCTCTCTGTACTCTTGCAAAAAGAAAACAAAACAAACAAAAAAACAAAAATCCGTTGTAACAAATATGCATAGTAAAACAATGCAAATTAGTGAATTGACCTTGGCCAAAAATACCTATATCTCATTCTGAACCCTAAATGCATCATCTCTCTATCAAGAAGTAGATAGCATGGTGCAGCATCAGTCCTTAGGAATCATGGTTGATCGTTATGTTGATCAAAATTCTTAAGTCTTTCAAAATTGTTTGTCTTTACAATGTTTTTATGGCATAAATTATATAATATATAAATTATTCTGTTTCTGCCCACTTCACTCTGCATAGGTTCATATAAACCTTTCCGAGTTTCTCTGAAACCGTCCCTTTCCTCATTTTTAAAAATGTCACAATATTCCCATGTCACATATTCCGTTATATTCACATATTATAATTTGTTTGGCCATTCCCCCATTGATGAACAACCCGTTATTTATTACCTCTTTGCCACTACAAAAAAAGAAGTGCTGTAAATATTTTTGTACAGCCCATTAATTTTACAGAGAAGGAAACTGCTTTCCTAGTTCCTTGACCCATCTTTCCAGAACCTTAGAATATCAGAGTTGGAAAGAATTCATAATCTATCTAGTTCAACAGGAATCCCTTCTACAAAGTTTGGAAGTCTTCCAGTGGAGGGAAACCATCTTGAGGTCTTGAGAAAGCCCCTTTCACTCTTACACAGCTGTAATTCTTAGGAACTTTCCCTCCTGCTCCCTAACTTGGAGTCCTCTGTGGATAAGCTGACCAAGTCTAACCCTTCTACCATATGAAGGCCCTTCAGATTTTTGAAGACAGCTATCTTGTTCCGCCTAAATCATCTCTTCAATCAGTTCTTGTATCACCATACTGATTACTCTCCTTCCTAAAAAGTGGCTTCCAGAACCGAGTACAACAGTTCAAATATGAAGGCAGTGTCCCCGGCTCTAGAAGGTATGCCTTGCTGGGACGCAATATAAGATTGCGTTGTCTCTTTTGTCACAATATTGACTCAGATTTTCACAGCCCTCTACCTCCTACCCCAATCTTTCCAACAGCTCCTATTCCTGTATATGTAGCTAATTTTCTGAATTCAAGTTTTACTATTTGGTTGGGAAGGAGCTGGACTTTGTTATAGTGACCTCTCTTTGAGGAAACTCCTTTTACCAATGCAGACTGGCAAGTACCCTGTGGTTTATAGTCCTGCAGAGTTGTCTGATTTCATTTTATTAGATTTAGGCTATCAAGATAATTTTGGATCTGAATTCTGTCATTAAAAGTATTAGTTATTCTCAGCTTTATATCTGCTACAAATCTGATAAGCATCTAAGTCACTGTTCAAAATACTGAAACAACACAGGGCCAGGATGATCCCTTGAGGCATATCACTCTGATTGGGAATTGGACCTGAATCTACCTAATTGTAACCGGGCCCATACTGTTCCAGCTTGTCCTTAAGGATAGCTTAATTTTAAGGTTTTGTTTGTTTGTTTTGCTTTTTTGGTGAGCAGTCAGGGTTAAGTGACTTGCCCAGGGTCACACTGCTAGTAAGTGTCAAGTGTCTAAGGTCAGATTTGAACTCTGGTCCTCCTGACTCCAAGGCCAGAACTCTATCCACTTCCACAACTAGCTGCCCCTAATTAATTGTTTTCATAAAGTACTTCCCACGTGGTAGACACTGGGAATACAAATACAAAATCAAAAATAGTCCCTGACCTAAAAAGAGTGTAACTGGGCAGGCAATACAAATAGGAAAATGGTAGGAAGAGGTTGCTATTTGGAGGGGGGAAATTAGAGGAATGGTAGCTGAATCCATAGGGGAGTAAAATGACAAACCATTTTCAAGATTGGAGTTGATTGATTATGGTTCAGGATTTAGAAAGAGTGTGACATGGCAGGGATTTCAGGTATTTACTGGGCAGCATGACATCTGGTGAAGAATATGGCCTGGGAGTAAAGTGGAACATTTGAAAACAAACAGACAAACCCAACAACAACAAAACAACCAAAAAATTTTGTCTATAATTTTCCATTAATTCTATCAGCTTCTTGGCTTGTCCTTCATAATGTCTTGATTTCAGCCACATCCATGCTAGATAAGTGCACAATTGGTGCACTACTCTTTTCAAAAAGATTTCTGACTTTGTCTTTGCAAGCTGCAGGGTTGAGAAAGATTATTTACTCATGTATTGGAAGGCATGAGATTTTCAAATACCTGAGCTATTTGCCAAGCTGCTAACCTTAGTAGGTTATTATTATTAAAGATAAACTCTGATCTACCACTTTATTAAACCTGTCCAGACAAAAAAAAAAAAAAAGAAATAGGGTTAATCTGGCATTTACCTTTAATGAAGTTGGCTTTTAATGGTCACAACTTCTCTTTCTAAATGTTTGTAAACTATCCCTTTAATAATGTTCTACAATTTTGCCAGAATCCAATATCAAACTTTTAGGTCTTTGAGTTTCCCAATGACATCCTATTCCCTCTTTTGAAAATTTGGATATTTACCTTTATCTTTAGGCAGTTAGGTGGAGAAGCTGATAGGTGAGCTGGACCTGCAGTTAGGAAGACCTGAGTTTGAATTTGAACAGCCCTCATAGATGTGTAATCATGAGCAAGTCACTTATTGATACTGTCTGCCTCATCTATAAAATAGGGAAAATAACAGTACCTTACAACCCAGGGTTGTTGTGAGGGTAAAATGAGATATTTGTAAAGTGCTATACAGACAGTGCCCTGTCTTCTTCAGACCATTACTTTACTTACATTCTTCTAGATTCTGATTTCCTCCCTGCACACCTGCGTCGTCCCCCCCCCCCCCCCCCCCCCGCCAGTGTTGTTATCTCCTTGACTTTGATCTCACTCAGACCGTGGGAAACCCTTTGGCCATTGAGCACTGGGCTCCCCTCCCCCACTGCCAGTTTCATCCCTTCCTTCCTTGGGTCCCAAAGAGGCTTTGCCCTCCTGTACCAGACCTTCCCTGTTCCCTGCAAGTTAAATCTAAGACACCCAAATACTAAGCTCCCATCCCCCAGTTCTTAACTTTCAGGCCCTTACCTATATAAGAGATGAGATGGAGAACCAAGAAAGGTAGGTCCAGAACTGTGACCACACTAGAGGATTGCAGTGGGTTAGATGTGGGGTTAAGAGGAAGGGAAGAGAATTGTCATATAGAGAATGTGCAGGTCTCAGCTGGAATTTTCCTCTGCCTTCATTACTGCCCTAGTGATTGTGTTTTATATGCCTCCAAAATATTTTCACGGAGCCACCTACTAGCTGAGTGACAAGACAATTCACCTTTACCTCTCTAAGCATTCCTTTAAATGTAATATGAGAAACAATGTTACTATAGAGATGTAAATTATTTACATCTCAGCCCACTGGCCCCAGTGGATAGTACTATTTCTTTCATCTTGCTCTATCCCATCTTAGGCAACTCAGTCCTGTGGGATTCCACAGGAAGGGGCTGCCACAGAGAGTTTAGAGGAGATCGTAGAGAGCCAGAGAGGAAGATGAAGAATCATGGGGAAGGAGGTGTGGGGGATTATTCCCAGGTGACAGGGTAGGGAGGAACACTTATTCTGCTCTAACATTTAAGGATGTGGCATTAAATCTTATAGGTTCTCATCCCCTCCCACTCCCACCTCCACCCTCACAGCTCCCAAGACTTTCAGGGAAACCAGGACTCTAAGGACGGAGAAAAAAATAGGTCCTCCCAGCCTTGCATCTCCCTTCCTTTGAAGAGCCGAAGCAGGAGGAGCAGCTAGGCCTGGGAATTAAAGCCTATAGTTGCTGCACAGCTGGGGGGAGGAGGGGGAAATCGGTGACACCTGACCAGCTGTGCTATGTTTCCGACCCGCAGGGCCCTACGCGTGGAGGACACGAGCTTACAGCCCTCCCCTGCCATTCCCCATCCCCCCAGTTGCCAAAGACACCCGCCAGGTGTCTGGGAGCCAGGGAGGCTAGGACATAACGCAGAGTGGTTTGCATATGTAAACTGCTTGAGGCAAAAATCCAGAAGTGTGGATGGGCTTCTTAGGGCTTGAAAGGGACCTCAGAGACCATCACTGATCCCATTAGTCAATCCCTACCCCTATCACAACCCCTCACTAACTCCAAGACAGTGACTTTTTAAATCTTAGCCCTGCTGGAAGACACCTACGGGGGATACCCACGGCAGTCCCGGTTCAGAGGCTGGAGCCAGGAGCTCTGAGCCTAGAGGAGGTTCCGGGTCCAGCTCCTATTTGGTTCCCTGTGGGTTCCTTCCCAGAAGACCTCAGTCAGGCCTTATGGCTCCTCTTGCCTAACCCAGTTTCCATTTTTCTGTTTCTATTTTTGATCTATTGGTCTCCTTCCCTTCCTCTCATTCTACCACTCCTTTCTCTCCAAATAGTTTGCCCCATTTGTTTGTCCCCCATTTGGTAACCTCCCCCTGCCACCCTTCAGCTAAGGACCTCCTGTTTCACACCTTACTGCCCAAATAAACTGTTCTCACGGCATGGAAAGAGAGGAGTTTAGGGGGCAGGAGCAGCAGGAGTCTGTGTGAAAGAGAGAACACGGAAAGAAAAAGAGACACAGTCACAGAGAGAGAAATAAGCTGAGGGAGACCGAGACACAGAGAGTCTCCCCTTGGCCAGAATGTGTGTGCTCCCACAGCTTCCATCTGACTGTTCCTTCTTCCCCACAGGCACGCATACTGTGTTCTCACAAGTGACTGCTACATCTGGCCCGTGGGCCTGGGGCCCAGGCGCGTGCAGGATCAAAGAGGCCTGGAAAGCAGGGGGTAGGGAAGGCGTCAGTAACTTCTCTGTGCCAACAGCCTTCCCGAGGAAGCCAGGGGCTGAAAACCTGGGAGAGAGGGCCAGGGAGATAGATACCTGGAGAGAAAACAGAGAGAAGAGAAAGAAGGGAGGCAGAGAGATATCCTGAACACAAAGACCGAAAAGGGAATGGGAAACTGAGGCAAAAATGCAGCGATAGTTGAGATGAAAAGGAGATAGAGAGGAAGAAGAGGAGAGAAAGTAAGAGATTGGGAGAAAAATCCCTAGAAAGGTGAGAATGAGGAGCCTACAGCTGTGTGGGCAAAACTCTTTGACAGCCTCAGTCAATAGCCAACTGCCCCTCTGCGTCCTGGGCCCATTCTACTAATCACCTTCCTCCCACTCTTGCTTCGCCGTTCCCCACTCCCGCCCAGTTGCCCTCTTGCTGGGGATCAGAGGAGAAGGAATTTTCTCAGAATTGCACCTGAGGAAGGCATGGGGTGAGGGTGGGAAAAGTGAGGAACTGAGATTGACATAGAAAAAGGAAGGAAGATGGAAGAGAAAAAAAGCCAAGGACAAAAAGGGAGGGAGGAAGAGGTTAATGATAATAGCTGATATTTATTTTAGGGCTTTAAGGTTACATTTATTATCTCACAACAATCCTGTAAAGTTGGTTGCTAGTACTATCCCCATTTAACAAATGATGAGACTGAGACTCAGAGAGGGTAAATGATTTTCCTAGGGTTACACAGCTCTTAAGAGCCTGAGATGGGATTTTAACCAGTACTTCCAGACTCCAGGTTTGGTGCTCTTATCTATTACAACACACTGGTTAAAAGAGCATTCTCCTTTCCTTGTTCAGGAGCCTGAGAGAAGTTTGGCTTTCATTTAAAAAATAAGGTTTTTTAAAAACACTTCTATTTTTTTTTTTACGAAGAGATAAAAAATGATATTCTGGATAGGAACCAAAGTTAGCTCTCCTTTAGAATAGAAACCAGTTGCCCACCAATGAACCAAGTATCTACCTGCTTGCTTACATAAATAAATGATTCCAAAGTTCCTCCAGTGACACCTAAGCTGTTAGGGGTTCCACAAGCTAGGGCTGGGTCCAGGACACATGGTTCCCTAGGGGACAGCGGGGCTAGGGGTTTGAGGAGTGCTCCATTCATTCATTCATTAAACACTTACTAAGAACCTACTACATGCTAGGCACTGTGCTAAGTGTTGGGGATACAAAAAGAAGCAAAAGACAGTTCCTGCCCTTAAGGAGCTTACAATCTAACGGGGAAGACAACATACAAACAAATGTATACAAAGCAACATGCAAAGAAATGTATACAAATCAAACTATACACAGGATATACAATTTGGGGTTATAACATGTCAAAGTTAGGGTTAGAATTGAAGTGAAGGTAGGTGCTCTTGAAGTTTGACTCCCTTTTGTGGGAACCTGGTCTCAGCAGATAGGTAAGGGCCTGACTGAGCACAGGTCAGAACTGGATGCTAGACAAGAGGCTTCTGGGCACTTTGGTAAGTGCCCTACTGCTCTGGGAAAGAACTGATGATGGAATGTGATGGGAGAGAGAAAGAAGGTCCCTTTCCTGGCCCCCTTCCCCCAACCCCGGCTGCTGTGGGTCATTAAGGCCACCCCATATGGCCAGGGGTTGGGCCCACACCTGGTTGTGAACAACCTTTCCCTCCTCTACCAGGCCCTGGTGAAAAGGAAACCACAAACCTGACCCAAATTCCCAGGGGGGGGTGGGGAAGGTCTCAGGCTTCAACCGGATTCCCCCTCAACATCTGTGCAGTCCCATTTGGCCTCACTGGGGAGTCTAAGCCTATAGTCCAGAGGGTACCCCACCCCTGATTATAGTGGCTGAGATGTTTTCAAGAAGCCAAATTTATGCTCTTTGCAGAATTTACAAGACTGTGGATCACTAGAAGCACTAGGAAGGGTCTGGGGAAAACTGGCTTTCTCCTTAACATTTCTCTTCCTGTTTTTGTAAGTCTATTTCTCTGTTTATTTGTGTCTGGTTTTGTCTTTTCTTCTCTTTTTAATCTTTCCAAAGGAGAATAAAATTTTTGGAGAGAATAAAATTTTTCTTTTTTAGGCAAAATTGGGTTGGACGGGTATGATAGGGTAGTCAGAAAGATCTTTGAACTGGCAGTCAAAAGACCTAGGCTTGACTTCTGCTTCTGCCACTTACAAATTATTCGACTTTGGCCAAGTCACTGCCCCTTTTTTGGGGGGGAGGCAGTTTCTTCATGTATAAAATGATCAGACTGAACTAGATAAGCCCTCAGATATCCTTCAGCTGTGATGTTCCACATGTATTGTCTTAACTTTCTATCCTGTGCAGTGGACAGAGTGCCAGGCACAGAGTCAGGAAGACCAGAGTTCAAATCTGGCCTCAGACACTCACTAGCTTTGTGATGCTAAGCAAGTCATTTAACCTCTTTTACCTCAGTTTCCTCATCTGCAAAATGGGAATAATAATAACACCTATCTCCCAGGGTTGTTGTGAGGATTGAATGAAATAATAATTGTAAAACCCTTAGCAAAGGGCCTGTCATATAAATCTTAGCTGCTATTATTCCTATGCTTACCAGTTGCATGCATACACTGAAAGGGGGACAGGGCAAGGCAGTCTCTCCTTTCGATGTCATCCTAAAGATTTGGAATACAATTCAGCCAGCACTTACTAAGCACAAGATGAGATAAGACAGGTTCAGGTTCAGATAAAATAGTCCCTGCCCTCATGGAGCTTACAGTTTGGGTACTATGGGTAACTATATATACACTATCTGACAGTAAAGACATAAACACAGCTTCTCTGCCCCTATGGGTCTCCATCAACCCATTTGGGTCCAAGAACACATACCCGTCCAGTGAAAATCACTATGTAAGTGAGGAGAGTGACTTGCTAGTGGGGAAACTAGGGAGGAAGTATTTTTGAGGGATGGAATTGGGAAGCAGTAATTTGGAGACACCTGATTTGTAAACTATAAAGCACTATATTAAATGTGAACATTAAGTAAAAGATCTAGAGAAAGATATTAAAAGAAGGGAAGCAGGGAAATGGTAAGGTTTTTCCAAGACTAAGGAACAGGAGCCAGAAAAAGCTGGGGTGAAGGATATGGGAAAAAGAAGGCTTCATTTTTCATCAGGATCAGTGTGGCTACTTGTGTTCCTGCACCCTGATGGAAGGGCATGGGAAGGTGGCACCCACCTTTAAATGCACCTGGACACTCTGTTCCCTCTCAGTTTCCTCACCTGCAAATGAATATAGGAATACTTGAATTATCTGCTTCACAGGGTTGTTGGGAAGATATTGCTATGGAAATGTGATGTGTTATTATGTGAAATATATTAATACATGTATGCATGTTAATATGTGTGTAGATTGCTGATATCGGGAGCTTCTAATTAAGAATTTCCCCCTCCCAAATTAGAGCAGCATCCAGTTGTTCCCTTCAGGATCACCATAGTCAGCATGGTCAGGACTTGAATATAGGCCTTTCAGACTTCAAGGCTAGCTCTCTATCCAAATCCTCGTACATAAAAAGGACCTGAGATTTCACTAATAAAGGGGAACTCTCTGTTACCACAATTTTCTCTGCAATGTATGACCTTTGAGGATGACTGACCACATAGTGGCTGAAACAGTTACTATTGCATAGGAGAGGGGACTTGAAGGCACAGTCTTGGGGTTCTTAGGCCAGTTCTCTAGCCCGTAAAGCAAGCTGCCTCTTGCCTGCACACTACTAGGGTAAAATAGAAAAGAATATTAGAAGGATTGAGATTTGTTCTTTTCTCTCTGAACTCCATCCAAAAAGGATAAGATGATAATGGTACTTGCTAATATCCATTCTTCACTGCAACCATAACTCCACCCGGGGACCTATTTGTCTTTTCCTGATTCTAACTCCAACCCTACCCTACAAGCTGCCTTTCTCCTTTCAGCTCCATTTGCCTCTCCTTTCTCACACCTTCTCTTTCCGGTAGCCTCGTGTCCTTAGTCTGGGGGGTCTTGAGCTGGCTGTTCACACCTGGCCTGGCGCTATAGGCTGTGGAAGGGGCGGGGGTGGGGGTGGGGGGAAGAGAAGAATGGGGTCCTGGAGGCGGTGCTGGAGGGAGGCGGTGTCCAGGGACCCTCGGTCTTGATATAAAGCACAGGGCGGGCACTGACCAGCTCTATTCCAAGGTCCAGATGCGAGATGGTGACCCGGGATCGAGCAGAAAACAGGGATAGTCCCAAGGTAAGGGAGAGGGGGAAGGAAGAGGAGGCACCCAAGCCTTTCGAAAAACAAATGGAAGAGAGACAGAGAGAAGAAAAGTTCCCTACTTTGGGGGAACTTTTGCGGGGAGGGACCAGAAGGACCCAAAAGAGAAGGCAAGGTGGTCGTGGTCATAGAGACTAGGGTCAAGTAATGGAGGTGGAAAAAGAGGAAGAAGGGGGCAGTGGACAAAGAGGAAGGGAAGAGGTGGAGCAAAGGGGAATAGAAAGGGAAACACAAGGTAAGATGTAAGAATCCCAGGGAAGACCGTAGAAATGGGGTGTGGGGGGGAGAACAAGGAAAAGAATCAAAGCCAGAGAATAGATAGGAAAGAGAAAACCACGTTGGCTAGGGAGAGAGATGGTGGGTAGAGGACCCAGGTGAGAAAAGGGATTGGGATCAGGGAGATGGGAAACTAGGAATAAGTTTTAGAGAAAGATCAAAAAGGAGAAAACCAGGAGAGGTGAAAAGGTTGGAGAAGGGGAGGGGTCGTCTTGCTAAGGGTAATAAATTAGGGAAAATAGAGGGAGAAAAAGTGTTGCGCACAGAACAAGCGCTTGCTGCTTGATTGATGGAGACATAGAGCAGAGAAGGGGGAAAGAGAGGTAGAGAGAGCCAGAGGAAGAAAAATATCACCATTTTAAGGAGGAAAAAATGGAGGAAGAGAGGAACAGGGAGACAGAGAAAGATATGTTGAAAAATAGAAAGAAATGGAGAGGCAAAAATTAAAAAGATAGGCAGAACCAGTGAGAAACAGAGATGGGGAGGGGGACAGAAAAAGGAAGGGGACAGACAAAAGAGAAGGGGAAACTAGAAGCATGAAGATGAAAATATAGAAAGGAAGTTCAAAAATAAGGCAGGCAGACGAGTGTGTGGGGGAGAGGAATAGAGAAGATTGGGAAAGAGGACAGGTGGGGGAAGTAAAGAGTGGGGTGAAAGCACAGAAGACTGAGGTCGGGGAAATGGGAGCAAAGAAGGGAACGGACTCCTAAGTCCTGGACTCGTATTGGGGGAGACTTTGGGGGAGGCAGGTGGACAGGGCATAGAGAGCTTAGGGGTGTAGAATACTGGGACTAGTTATTTAGAAAGGTGGGAGGGCCCCTGGGCCCGGAAGAATTTCGGAGCGGGTAGTTGGGGCAGCAGGTCTGTGGCTGAGTTTCGGGTATGGCTCGGTCCGGCCTTCCCCCCTTCCCACCCACAGATGCTGAAACCACTGGTGGAGAAGCGGCGCCGGGATCGTATCAATCGGAGCCTAGAGGAGCTTAGGCTGCTGTTGCTGGAGAGGACCCGGGACCAGGTCAGTGAAGTCGCCTTCCTTTCCTTAGCCCCTAGGAATCCAGGCCCCCCCAGTATCCAAGATCCTCAGGGACCCAGGTGTTTTGTTCCCAGCTCTGTATCAGAACCTTCAGGGTCCCATGTGTCCGATCCTTAGTACTAGCACCAGAGACTTCCAGAGACCTAAAGGTCTGGTACCCCTACCTTCAAGATCTCCCAGGGACCCAGGAGTCCGTCCTCCCAGGCCCTAAAAGAACCCCCACTTGTGTCCCTCCAGTTCCCAGTTTCCTCGGTAGCCCAACTACCAGGCCTACAGTCCCAGCATTACCACTTTCCCTTTTTTACTTTGGGGAACCCACTTAATCCGCTGCCCTAAACCCGACCCAGAATAATCGGTCTCCCAGTGACTTAAACCCTCCGCCCCCCCCGCCCCAATTTCGGAATCCCAATCTCCAGACCTCCCCCGGGCCCCCGCCCCCTTGGCGCGTCCCTTCCCACTCCCTTTTCCTTCTCCTCCCCTCAGTCCCCCTCCCTCCCCCCTCTGCTTTGCTGCAGTGAATGTCGTCCCGGTGGAATGAATCCCCGTTCTTGGGCCCCGCTTCTCTCTTCCCCCTCCCACTTTCCCCCTTCTCTCTCCCTTCCCTGTCTCTCTCCCCTTACTCCATCATGCCTCTAGAACCTCCGGAACCCGAAAGTGGAGAAAGCTGAGATCCTGGAGTTCGCCGTAGGCTACTTGAGGGACCGGAGCCGGGCCGAGCCCCCGGGTACAACGGGTACAAAGCGCTGGGCTAGGGCTTCGGGGGTGGGGAGGGCAGAGCGGGATGGAATGGGGGAGAGGCAGAGAAGGGGAGAGCAAACAGGGGATGGGGGGCCGGAGGCAGAAGAGCGTAGAGGGGGAAGTAAGGACCGAAGGGTGGGAAGATGGTGTGTCCCCCAGTGCTCCCCCCTCAAGGTGCATTTCGTGAAGATAATAACACACATGTCTGTCTGTCTCTGTGTCTCGCCCTCGCGATCTCCGTCTATGTATTTCACTGCCATCGATCCGCTGGTCTCCCGGTGCTCTCCTCTCTTCATCTGGTTTCCCCTTCTCCTTGATACTACGACCCCTTCTCTCTGTCTTCTCCCTATGGCCCCATGTCCCCTGTTTGTTTCCTTGTTCCAATACCCATTTGTGTCAATCTTTCCATGCTCATCTTACCCACGGTTCTCGGTATCTTTCCCCCACCCTACCGCCTGCCTCTATGCCCCCGGTTCTCTTTATTGTCTTGTTTCCATGCGCCTCTCATCTGTGCCTCCATGCATCCTCACATCCGTCTCCATGTGCCCCCCCCCATCTATCACTCCGTCTCTGTGCCGGCGTCGGCCTCGTTCTCCCCATTCCCATGTTTCCTTGCTCCCCTTCTGCCCCCCCCATTCTCATGTCACTACGCGTCCCGCCACCCTGTGTCTTTCCCCCTGTACTTGCGCTACCTCCCTGCCCTGATTCCCCCTCTCCCTTGCTCTCCCCATCCCCGGCTCCAGGCGCCCCCCGGTCCCCCACCCAGGACTCCGAGGCGCTGACCAGCTGCTACCTGTCCGGTTTCCGCGAGTGCCTCCTCCGTCTGGCAGCCTACGTCCATGAAGCCAACCCGGCATCCCGAGCCCAGCTCCTGTCCACCCTCCACAGCTACCTCCGGCCCAAGCTGAGCCGGCCCGAGCCCGGCACTGGGGAGCCCCGCTGCCCGCCTCCTCGCCCCACGCTGGACCCCGCCGCCCTGCCGCCAGGCTCGATGCCTACCCCTGCCCACCGTCACCCCCTCCTGCCCCCCAGCAGCCCCCGCCCCGCCTGGTCCCAGACGCTCAGCACAACCTGGCCGAGGAACCTGGGCGAACGGGCGCCCCACACAGGACTCCGCCCTCCACAGAGACAAGAGAGGGCGCCGCCGGGGGGCAAGTCCCCGCCTGCTCCACCGCCCGCCTTCTGGAGACCTTGGCCTTGAGCTCTTTGGGGAGGGGGGCCGGGCGCTGGGGGCCAGAGGAGGGGGGCCGGGGGTAGAGGGGCGCAGGAAGGTGGAGGGGAGGATGGGGCGAGAGAGGAAAAGAGAAAGGACTCCGTTTTGGAGGGCGGGGGAGGGGCTCGTGTCTAGGTCCATCCTCCTCTGGACCCAGGTGTCCCGGGGCGGGGAAGCATGCCGTCTGGGGAGAGCGGGCGCAGGGGGGGAGAGGTAGGGATGGTGGGTGCTGTGCTCGTGTTGAGATTTTTGTTTATATATAGTATCTATATAAATATATATTTTTCCCTCATCCCTCTCCTCCCCCGTCCCTTTCTTCCTCCTCCCCATCAGTCCCTCCAAGTCCCCAAGGTCGAGTCTTTCCCGCCCCTTCTCCGCCCGCCCGGCCCCCGCGTCCCCGACCCCCCTAGTGCATGGAATAAAGTGGTGATCGAACCCTTTCTCTCGGCGTCCTTTCCCCTCCGTCCCCCCCACCCCCCACCCGGGCGATGCGGCGAGCCGACAGGTAAGTAAGCAGAGAGGCGGAGCTGCACGGACCAGCCCCGAGACGCAGAGGACGGGCAGGAGAACCGAGGGGAGGGCAGGAGGGAGTGCGGGGGACGGTTCTATAGACCTCCCAGTTCCTTTGTCGCCCAGCCGGTCAACGACCAAGAGGAAAAAATAAAGCGACTCTGGTGGGATTCGAACCCACAACCTTTGAATTGCTTTCTCGTCACTAGAAGTCCAATGCGCTATCCATTGCGCCACAGAGCCACCTGCCGGGGCTTTGCAGCTCGCGCCCTACAGCCGCCGCCACCATCGCCGCCTATGGGAGAATGGGCAAGCGGGAGGGGAAGGAGGGACTGCAAAGAAGGGAGGGCGTGGCGGGGCACAGCCCGACTGGTGCAGGAGAGCGGGGCCGCGACCCGACCAGGGGGTGTGTGTATCCGGTGCGTCTGCGTGAAGGTGGAGGGTGTGTGTGAGGGGTGTATGCCGTATATCTGTAGCCGCGTGGGTCGACGCAGGTGGCGCGTAGCGTGTCTGTCCGTGTGCACGTCGTGTGTGTCTGTGTGTCGGTATGTGCGGTGCATGCGCCTGTCTGCGTGTCTGTGTGGTGTTGGATGTGCGTCTGCGCACGTCTGCCTGCCTGTGCGTGGCTACGTGAGTCTGTGAGCGTGCCTGCGTGTCCCCCGGGTCCCGGCCCGTCCGTCCGTCTGCCGGTCGGTCGGTGGCTGGTGGAGACGTCGTCGGCGTGGGCAGCTGCCTCGCCCCGGCTCCTCAGGACTCTCCCGCCTCCCCGGGGCTTCCCGCGGCGCCGCGGGCTCGCTACAGTCTCCCTTCCCCCTCCCCCCCCGCTTCCCCTCCACGCTTGCCCAGCCCCGCATTGCGTGCGATGCAGCCCCTTCCCCCAGTTGTCGATTTGCGTCCCGACGCCCCTTTCCCCCCTTCCAATAAATTGATTTAATTTGAAACCTCTTGCACACGTCTGGTTTTTTCCCTTGTTTACTTCCGATTGCTTAGGACCCACTTTTCCCTCTCCCTCTTCTCAATCATAGCCGTGACTTCATTACTTACGTAATACCAAGGAGAAAAGAGCAATCTTGCGACGCCGACGCTTGCAGTTGCAACCCTCCTGGCATGTCTCTAGGAAGTCAGCGAGAAGAATCATTGTGTGCAGGTAGCGTGGCCGAGCGGTCTAAGGCGCTGGATTTAGGCTCCAGTCTCTTCGGAGGCGTGGGTTCGAATCCCACCGCTGCCAGAATAGATGCAGTTTTGCTACCTTTCGATTCCACCACCACATTCCTTTACTTAGTCGGCCGGGGAGAATTATTGGGGTTCATGGTATTTTCCAGAATTTCAGTACTTCATGGCTCCAGTTTCTGCCTTCCAGCATCATGCTGACCATATCTGGGGCACGTGATGGTAATAGATGGTAATACGCTGTCCAGTACCAGATCATCTCCGAATACTACAAATCTACTATTTATTAAAGTGATAGAGACCTGAGCCCCGGTCTCTATCAAGGGAGCTTGCAATTAAGCACGGGGTGATAAAGGCTTCATGAGGTTTAGATCAGGAAGGTATGAAAATATAGAAAAAAACTTATACAAAAGTTAGAGAAAAAGACATCTATGCCATCGGTGTTGGGAAAAGTTTTTCTTACAAGTCTAAATCTGCTTCATTTTAAGCTCTGACCATTGCTCCTCAGTGTGCCCTTTAGGGCCCAGCGGAGTTGATCTAATCCGTCTTCCACAAGAGCCTTCCTCAAATACTTGAAAGCAATACGGCATCACCACTATGTCTCCTACAGGCTAAATATGTCCAGTTCCTTCCATCAATTTTCATATGATTTCACTATTCTGGTCCCTCTCTTCTGGATGTATTCTAGGTTATCACTGCCCTTCCTAAAACATAAGCTCAGAACAAGATATAACTTTCTAGATGTGACCTGACACAGGCAGGGTACAAATGGTCATAGTCTGTTCCTTAGTCCTGGAAGACACTGTATCTTCTTTTTCTCCTAATATCATATTAGCTTTTTGGGTTGTCATATTCCATGGATGATTACTGAGCTGTCCACTGAAACCTCAACTATCTTTCAGACAACCTGAAATCTAATCCCATCTTCTCCATTTAAAAAATCGTTAAAGGCCAGTTGTAAAGTTTTTGACACTTATTCCTCTTAAATTCAATTTGACTAATTTTGGCCACAATAAGTATTTGGGGGATGCCAACTTTGTTGTTCAAGTCACTGATAAGAATAGTAAACACCACAAAGCCAGACTTTCCAATGTCAATACTCCAAAGACAATGGCCTCCAAAGATAGCAAGGAACACCATTTATGCTTATCTTGAGTATGGTCTAGCCATTCCACTGGTTTTGAATCCATCCACCTCTGCTACCAGTACTGCTTGCCTCTCTTAAGTACTTCAGATTCATCTCGTGGATAGATTGTTTGTACTTGTTCTCTTTCTTTAGACGGTGAACTCTTCCAGGGAAGAGTCTTCTTTGTATCTTCAGGGCTTAGCACAGTGCCTGGTACATTTGTTGTTCAATTGGATGGACCATAGCATGCCAATATCATCCACGGGGTTTTCTTGGCAAAGATATGGGTCCTTCTCAGTGGATTAAAGCAAACAGTTAAGTGGCATAACTAGAAAGTGTCTCAGGCCAAATTTGAACTCAGGTCTTCCTGATTTCAGGCTCTGAGCATGCTTATGGCTGGCACATAGTAGGCACTTCATATCAATCGAAAAACATAGACAAAGCTAGCTATCTATATACAAGATAAATAGGAGATGATGAACAGAGGATTCACAGAGAACACTAGAGTTAAGATACTGGAAGGCTTATTGATGCCTAACTATACCCCACACCTGGATCACTTTTAACTTCCACCTCCTGCTCTCTGTGGCTTCTTCCAAGTCCCAGCTAAAATCTCACTTTCTAGAGGAAGCCTTCCCCGATTCCTTTAAATTCTAGTGCTTTCCCTCTTTCTATTATTTCTAATTTATCCTGTACACAGCTTGTTTGTGCTCAGTTGTTTACATGTTGTCTGCCCCATTAGTTTGTCAGCTGTCCATGACAGCCAGGACTTTCTTTTGCCTTTCTTTCATCTCTAGTGCTTAGCATAGCTGTGCCTGGCACATAGTAGGTACTTAATAAATGCTTATTGACTGAATGATGAAAGAAGAAAATAGAACTAAGAGAACCCCAAACACAATTACTACAAGAATGTAAATGCTAAAAATACTAAAACTGAATGATCTTTGATAAATTTTAATGAATAATCTCAGCACTGGAAAATGTATAAGAAGCAAATCTTTCTTCTCTCAGTAGAAAGGTGGGAACTGTGGATTGGAATTCAGTCTATCCTTTTAGAGGAGGTAGATGTGTTGCTTGTGCTTAAATTTTTTTTCTTTGTTAGAAGGAATGAGTCAATGATAGAGGAGGGGCAGTGATAAGCTTTATCCCCTACCTGGTCACATGGTGTCCCTGAGTGTATGACTTCTCTATTTTTCTTATGTTTCCTTTTTCCTGATCTTATATGAATGAATGAGTATTCTGAGATGGAAGTGCCTGGGAGACTGGGAGATCCATCAAAGCCATCCAAAGTCCCATTAACAACTGGAGCCCCACAATTAGTAGCAGCAGCAACAATGAAGTCTGATAAAGGCCCACCTAAGCAGGCCAGAGACTTGCTCTTCACAGCATTGACAACAAATCCCAAAACGAGCCAGCCCAGCTGAGCAAGGGAGCAAAAGATTCCTATGAAGATTCCATTCTCTGAAGTTAACTTGACTGGGACTCTAAGAAGGAAGAAAAGATCTCCTAGGTCCAGGAAATTAGAGATACACCTCTCTTTCATGTGTTATATAAGTATGTGCCTCACCAGTACAATAAGTTCATAATCTCTCTTTCCTTCCCACAAAGCCAATGTGCAGAGGGCGCCTCCAAGTTGGGGCAAATCTTCTCTTCCAATTACTATAAGCCCGAACCCACTGTCTTCAGTGATCTTATGCTTAGGATCCTAGTTTGGGGAGGTGTTTTGTTTTTGTAACTTCTGTCCCTGCTATACCTTCTTAGTAAATATCCCTTAGTAAAAGTTAATTGATTGATTGGTATGAGGGAGATCACATGGCATAGGGGCTCGTTAACAGTTATATTGGAAGCTCAGAGATACCCCAAGAATCCTGAGGAGATCTTTTCTCTCTTCTCAGAGTCTCCATCAAGTTACCTTCAGAGAATAGAATCTTCACAGGAATCATTTGCTCCCTTGCTCAGCTGGGCTGGCTCCTTTTAGAATTTGATGTCTAGGCTGGGGGTCAATCCCCTGCTAGGCTGGGAATACTTTTCACTCATATAAGGTCAGGAAAAAAGAAATATAACACCCTCTGGGGCCTCAATTGCCAGTGGGAGTGGGGACAGGGAGGGTGATCACAGAGGGGATGCTACAAAGACATCAGAGAATTACAAAAGAAAGTGCTCTGTGAGGTCTGAGGGGGAAGGGTTTGCTAGATGAGCTGGCATTTGACTCGGCTTTTAAAGAAAGGGTAAGAATGTTTTGATTCAGAGAAGGTCTCTTTTGACTTTTTGTCAGCTTACTGACAAAAAAGTTCCAGCTTACTGCTGGAACTAGGTGCATTCAAAAGTAGCTAACAGATGAAATTGCTCTCCCTGGTAGCTTTTTCGTGAGGAAAAAGAAATGCTATGAGGCACTAGGTTCAAAGAGAGGTAGCAGCCATAGCTTCTAGTTTATCTCCCCATCAGGGCAACCATGGGGCTATTGCCACCTCTTTTTTTTTTTCTATCACTGTTGTATAATATCTTTCCTCATATTAAGTGAATAAGTAACAGAGATAGGATGGACCACATTGTGACCTTTGACTGAAGTCCATAGCAGCAGCTAAGCAATCCTTGAGAAGCATCCTACCGGAGTCATGTTAGGAGGGAACTGAATCTGGAGCTGGGCCACTGTGTTCTACAAGCAAAGGAGACATCACTTTCACCAGGGCTTACTCTTCTGCAGTCTTTGTTGCTGTGGCTACTTGAATGCTCTGTTATGGATTCTCATCAATGGGCCTCTCATGGCTCCTTGGACCTTTCAAAACTCTATAAAAACCAGGTTATAACTTGGTCTATTCCATCTCCACACTTCAGAGAGCTAAATCTAAAGGGACTTAAAAAAGAAAAAAGGATTCTATGAAGGGAGAAAAGACTTCGGGCAGTACCAGGCATTCTGTTATCCTTTTGCTACATATGTTCCCTATATAGGGTATCTCATACTAGAGAGTCCTAGGCTTTGGGAGGAAAGTTGTATAGCAGCTTCTTACTAAAAGCTAATTTATTCTACCAAAAGATTGTTAAAGAGAAACATACTGATGATGGCTAAAGAATTATAGGTCCCCACAGGGCTACTCCTAGGACTGGAGGTGGCAGCCACCCTTTGGGGACCTCAGATCAGGAGATGGAGTACAAGTTGGGAGAGTGAGCCCAGAGCAGGTACTGTGTGAAAATCTGATCATGTCCCTCCCTTATTCAATCAACAACCTCTAGTGTCTCTCTTTCAACCTAGGATAAAATTTAAACTCGTCCACTTTTCGTCCCAATCTGACCTCAACTTATTTTTCCAACGTTCTTGTGTATTATTTTTTCCTCCAGGGCTCTGTGACAGGCCCAAGGGGTCTTCTCTCTGGGTACGGATTTACTACATTCCTGAAATGGGCTCACATTCCACTGCCTCCACCTTTCTTCAAGACTTAGCTCAATTCTCTCCTTCTGCTACATTTCCTGATGCCCTCAATTGGTAGTGCCTTTTCCCCTTCCAAACCTCCTTAAAATTAACTACTTTGTATTTATTCTATAAGTACTTATATAAGTACTTGTCTCCGGGTTAGAATGTAAATTCTTTGAAAGTAGGGATTATTTCATTGTATTTACATCTCCAGGGTCCAGTATATAGTAGGCAATTAATAAATACTTGTTTATAACAAATAACTGCAAACAAAGATGACGGATTCCAAGTTTCTCAAATTAAAAATATTCCCCAACCAAATTTTAGGTTCCACATTACTTCTAATTACCCAAACATTATCAAATTTTATAACTCTTCAAAATTCCTTCTAAGCAGTCATCTCAATTTTAGTTATGTTCAGTTCTAATGGATTGAATTGAAAGGTTTTCGTTGAAAGGAAAATAGTTTTTTGATATTTGGGATGTGAAAAAATGTATTACATGTATTTTTTATCCCCTATTGAAAGGGGGGGGTACAAAAGTTAGGTTCCACCGAGATTTGAACTCGGATCGCTGGATTCAGAGTCCAGAGTGCTAACCATTACACCATGGAACCACCTTCGAGCTCAGTATTTCCTAGGCCCCTTTTACAGTTACTTTGTCTTCTGTTCGCCCTTTCCCTCCTCCTCCTCCTCTTCCTCCCCCTTCCACTTCCCTCTCTCCTTCCCCTTCCCCATTTTCTTCTCTATTTCAAGACAAACCAAAAAGCTTTTCCTCTGAACAACAAAATGTCCTCAGATGTCCACTATCCCGCTTTCCTAAAAAGAAAAAAAATTTGCTTTGAAAATACACCAACACAATCTGGTTTGCTTAATGTTACAGAAGTTTTGTTTTTCTATTTTTTTACAGAGGGGTAGGAGGGGGAAAAGAAAATGAATGTTTATTAATTGGGAAAAAAAAGAAAGTACACTCACATTTTAAAAATTATTAACCTTAGCGTTTTAATTTTTACTATATTCTATACGAAGTAACAAAAAAAAAAACAAACCAAAGGCACAAGTTAAAAGCAAAAAAAAAATTTTAAAAAGCACGCCCGAACAGGGACTTGAACCCTGGACCCTCAGATTAAAAGTCTGATGCTCTACCGACTGAGCTATCCGGGCCCCAGCAAATTAGTCTACCAGAAGTGTATTACAGGCTACGCCTGCGTCGACCTGTCTCCAAAGAAACGGGGAAACGGAGGAGGCAAACGAAGAATTACGCCTGCGCAGGGCACTGGGTCTTGTGACATGTGTCTGTACTCTTGTTCCCACTGCGCCACTTTCTTCAGGACTCTGCAGTCGGTCTGCCTATTGGGAGATCTCTCCAGCACGCAGCTCACTCTAGCGCAGGCGCCCTGCACCTCTGGCTGGGGCTGAATCCTAGGGAGCTCAAAGGCAAAGCTCCCAGGCAAAGGCTAACAATGCCCCTGGGGGGAGAAGCTGCAGTGCCTAGCATGGCCACAAGAGGTTGCTGCAAACCAATTAGTGCTCCCCTCTTTTGCTGGTACTGCAGATCACTTGCATCTTTATCCTACTGGAGTCAGAACCAGGGTTGGGGCGGGGTATAGGGGAAAGAACCCGCGGTTAGGATAAGGACCCGGGACCTAATGCAAACTCCGTCAATTACCAGCCTCTCTGGGCTTCGGGAAAACGAGAGGATTGGACTAGTCCTTTTAGGGTTCCTTCCAATTCTGGCATCCTGAGATTTTAATGACATTTGGGGTTCTCACACGAGAGAACCTGGAGGGAAGGGTGAAGGAACTCAGAAGATGGGGGGAGGGGAAAGAAAGGAGGAAGTATGAGGATAGGACCTCCTGGGGAGCTGGTTAGAGCATCACAAGGATTACCAGGAGATCCAGTTTCCTTCTTTCTTAGCTCTCTTGGGTGTTCGTAAAATGAAGGGGTTGGACCAGATGAACTCCATTCCTACCCCACAATTCTAAGACAATGTTTCTCATTATGCAGGTCCTAGCCTTTGTGTCCTAATCTGAGTTTCATTTCTGTTTTTATCTCTTTCTTCTCTCCCCTCTTCTCCTCTGCTCTTCTCTCTGCTCTGCTCTCCTTTCCTCTCCCCTCCTTTGCTCGCCTATCCTCACCCCTCTCCTCCCCTGCTTTCCTCTGCTCTCCCCTCTCCCTCCCTCCCTCCTTCTCTCTCTCTCTCTCTCTCTCTCTCTCTCTCTCTCTCTCTCTCTCTCTCTCTCTCTCTCTCTCTCTCTCTCTCTCTCTCTCCCCCCTCGTCCCACCTCAATGTAGGTCCTAGATTTCTCACTCCAAGTCACAGCCTCCTTGGCCCTGTCATTTCACTGATAATCATCACTACCCGGCCCATGACAGGGTGGGTACTCACTCTGGGAGGCAGAGAGCAAAACAGGTGTCAGGAAACTGGCTAAGTGGGTGTGGAGGAGTCATCCGGAGAGGACTCAAGAAGGGAGACAGACTTCAAAATCCAAGTGCACCTCTTCCCGGAGCACTCCAAGGAATCTAATTCAATTCTCAGCCTTAATCCTTACTTCAAAGCAAACCCTAACATCAGTCCTATCCCTTGCCCTTTTCCTAAACCCAATCATAATCTATCTTGCTTACTGCCTCCAAGCTCTCCTTGAATCATGGTGGTATATCGAGTCCGGGTGGCCACAGGACCCTACTTCCTGGCGGGGACCCTGGATTCCATCTCTGTCACCCTGGTTGGCACCAATGCTGAGAGCCCTAAGCAGCTGTTGGACCATATTGGCAGGGACTTCACCCCAGGGGCTGTAAGTAACGAGGGCTCAGGAGGTTTGACTGGTGGTGGTGTTGTGAGGAAAGGGGAGGAGAATTTCTCTAAGATTTCGATCAAATTTTCTATGGAAATATTTCTTAAGCCATCCTTGGCTCTAAAGTTTATTTCCTATCTGTCTTTGCCACCCATTCCTTACCTTGCTCCTAGTTTTAATCCTACCCCTAGCTTGGATCCTCTACCATATCTGTGATTACTTTGCCCTTAACACTGTCCCTGTGCCTGAACCCTGTGTATGCTATTGTCTGTGCCTGGCCTTATTCTGAACACAGCCTATAATCCTGATTTTCCTGACGACTCCCCTCAGGTTCATAAATACAAGGTAAACAGCTCCTGTGAGCTAGGGGAACTCCTTCTGGTTCGGCTGCACAAAGAGCGATATTCCTTCTTCCCCAAAGACTCTTGGTATTGCAGCTACATCACTGTCACTGACCCCAGTGGAGTGGTCACCTGCTTTCCCTGCTACCAGTGGATTGAGGGTTACTGCACAGTGGAGCTTCGTCCAGGCACAGGTGAGCAAAGAGAAAGAGTGGGGAACTAGGGCCAGGGTTCTTAGAGGGAGACAGGAGATTTTCCTTGAGCTCACGTCTGGTGATATCACTCCCCTACTCTGTAGTGGCTCCCTATTGTTTCCAGGATGAAAATATAACCTTCTCTGTATGGCTTTTAATTTTCATCAATCACTAAACATTTATTAAGTACCTACTATGTGCCATGTAAGCTATGGGAATGCAGAAAAAAGCAAAAGATTGTCTCTGCCTTCAAGTAGGTTACAACCTCATGGAAATGACAACAAGCAAACAAATATGTATGAATGAATTGGAAATAGGCTACATTGGAAATAAATAAAAGGGGGAAGGTACTAGAATTAAGATGGGTTGGGAACGGCTTCCTATAGAAGAGGGGGTATTCTATCTGGGACTTTATGAAGCCAGGAGATCCAGCAGGCAGAGAGGAAAAGGAAAGCATTCCAGGTATGGGTGACAGCCAGAAAAAATCTTGAGAGCTGAGAGATGGAATGTCTTGTTCTTGGACTGCATAGAAGCCAGAGTCATTGGATCAAAGAGTACCTGTAAGGTGTAAGAAACATGGACACCTGTCCCCATATATTATCGTCAAGTAGACAGGTCTTTTACACATGGCCCTCCATCTTCTATTTCTGTTCCCCTGCACTGGCTGTATCCTTCCTCATCTCAGCCTCTTAGAACCCTCTTTCTCTCTCTTTCAATTCTCAACTAAAACACTACCTTCTATATAACACACATAATATATTTTCTGATTCCCCCAATTACTAGTACCCTTCCTTCCCCAAGGGTTTTATTTTAAATTTACTTGGCATATACATACATGCCTACATACACACACATATATGTTTGTACATACGTTGTCTCTCAACTGAATTTCAGCTCCTTGAAAGCAGGGATATTTTCATCTTTGTATAGCTATCTCCTGGCACTGGGAACAGCCTAGAATAGGCCTTGGATAAGTGATTGTTGGTTGATTTTGCTTGGTTAAGGCATTAGGTTAAGGATAGGATTAGGAGCAGGACAGAATTAATAAAATGATTATGTATTAGAGTTAGGACAGTTAGAAACTCTGGGTCCCAGAGGAAACATCTTCAGAAAGGACATTTTAAACTTTTTCTAATGAAAAGATAGGTAGATAACTAACCTCTCTACAAGGGGGGGGGGAATAATTAAATTTAATCTGCTTTATTAGCACTCTCTTAAGTCTAGACAACCAACAAAACATTAAATTAAGCCCTGATTTGTAGGGATCACAGGTTTGTGAGGTGTAAATGCTTACACTGAAAATTTAACAATTCTCTCTCCCAAGAGTTAGAGTTGGCCCTGTTCCAGAACACCCCTGACTACTGGATTGTTGGGCAATATTCATTCCTAAAGAGGGAGAAGTGACGGTGGGAGTAGAAGGCTCGATCTCTCATTCTGTCTGGTTCTGGTGTGTTCTGCCCTGCTTTTTACATTTTTCCGGTGTAGACTAAAGCTTTGTAAGGAATTAAACTGAGTTTGATATCTTCGGCAGGTGGGGACTGCTTGTCCATTTGTAGTGGGTTTAGTTGACATAAGCATTGTATATCCACTGAGAAGTTCTATGGTATTTTCAAAGTAGATCTTATTCTGTAGAATACTGTGGGCTCAGGCAAGTTGTCAGAGAAGCCATATGAGGGTGTATATGTTAGATGAGCTTGGAGAAGTTACTCTTCCTCCTTTGGCCTAAAAAAAAAAAAGAGAGAGAGGAACTTGGACCACATGATTGCTAAGATCCCACCCACCTGACACCCAACTCTGTGTGAGTCCCTGCAAGGATTCTCTGTGGAATAAGCTGGACTACGGTTCCTGGTTTGGCCATTTAGGGATCTGCAGCTGCAATGGTGGGTGAGGGTTAAGGTTAGAGATAAGATTGAAGAAAGGGCTGGTCAGTTTTAGGATTGGAGAGGAAGCTGAGTGAGAGAATGCTATAGTTTGGTCTTCATGTTCAAGTCTGAAGTAAGGAAAGTCTTAACTTCAGGCACTAGCATTGATTTTGTTGACTTGAAACCCTTGATATCTCATATCTACTCCCTTCAGGAAAAATCATCTGCCATGACTCCCTCCCTTTGCTCTTGGATCATCGGAAAAAGGAGCTCAGAGACAGACAAGAATGTTATCGGTGAGAGCAGACTTCCTCTAACATTAACATGACCCTGAATTCTGATCTTCATTTCTGACCTGTAATCTTGGTCTGAGTTTTAACCCTATGTTGATTCCAACTTCAGTCCCTGACTCTGAACCCAAACTCAACTCTGCCATTGAAATCGACCCCTGACTTAACACAGATCTCGACTGAAACCTTAGCCTCTAGTCTGACCCTTACTCCAGACCTGACCAAGACCTCTACAATCCTGACCCTCACTTTGATTTTATTAATTTATGTTGATTTATCAGCAATCACTTCCACATGCTTTTGAGTTGAACATTTTTCTCCCCCTTCCTCCCCCCCACCCTCCCCAAGACGGTACACAATCTGATATAGGCCTGACCCCCACTTTGAAACCAAAGCCATTACTCTGATCAAAATACCCAGTCCTTTTATGGGAAAAACTTGCTCAGGGGAAGGAAAACGGGGTCTTCATCCTATGAGTTGTGTCCACAGTCTTTTAACTACCCTGGAGACTTGGTCTTCATTAATGCCAGGGGTAGAATACACAAAACAGGTTTTGATATGTGTTGGGGTGGGATGAGTCTTAAAATGCTGAGACTCCTTTTTACCCTAACGTTGACCCTTAACCCCTTACCCATCTTTCTTTTCTGGACAGTTGGAAAATCTATGCTCCTGGCTTTCCCAGAATAGTGGATGTCAACAGCTTTGAGGAGATGGAATCAGACAGGAAATTTGCTTTGACAAAGATGACACCCTCTGCAGACCAGGGTTCCAGGTGAAAGGACCAGTAGCAGGACTGGTGGAGGGTGGCAATAGAAGAGGAGGGGTCTATGAGTAATTTGTCCTGGATTGAATCTTCAACTGAATCTCTCTAGAGCATACAGAGGAAGGGAGGAGACCTGGTCTCTTTCCATAGTAAACTCCTTTAATACAGAACCTAGGAGTCATACCTAGGTTTCAGATAGAGTCACAGAGTTAATTATAGTGGGATGATGATGGAGTATGAGCACTGAGGGGCTCAGAGCAAAGCAGTGATGAAAGCAGGGTGGGGCCAGCTAGGGAGGGATTTGTAGATGAGCCAAATTGGGAAGGGATGACATTGATTGGAGATTGGGGGAAGGATGTTCCAGGTAGAGATGTGACACTGGCCTCTAAATAAGAGAATACAGGGTTAGGGGAAGCACCCTAAGTAGAGATGGAAGCGGGAAAACAAGGGGTTCCAGGAGTAATGGGAAAGGGGGAAAAATAGAAAAGATTTTGGGATACAGACACTTCTGACCCCATCATTTCTCTTTCTGCCTCTCTTGCTCTTCCTCTTCCCACTCTGGGACATTCACAGAAGTGGGAATCGTTACCTGCCAGGCTTCTCCTCGAAGATAGACATCCCATCCCTGTTACACATGGATCCAAATATTCGATACTCATTCACCAAGACGGCATCTCTACTCTACAATGCTATACCTGCGTGAGGTTTTGGTTCCCCCATCACCATTCCTTAGTCAGCACCCTCCCTGTCCCTTGGCACCCCTCCTTCCAGTCTTCCCTCAATTTCTCTTCACTTCATCACTCAATTCTCTTATTCTCTCCCTCAGTTTTCTCTCTGCCCTTCCCTCTTTCCTCTTTCTGTTCCCTTAATTTCTCCTGTCTTTCCCACTTAATTATTCTCTCTGTTCCCATTTCTCTTCTCATTGTCCCTCAATATTTTTACGTCCTGAAGTCTCCCCCCTCCCTATTTTCTTAGTTACCTTTACTTCTTTTTTTAAAAACTTTATTTTTTTCAATTAATAAAAAAAATTCACCTTCTGTCCATCCCAACTCTTCCTGCCTCCCCCTCCATTGAAAAAGAAAAAAGAAAACATAAAACCCTTATACAAATAGTAAGGGGCAGCTAGGTAGCACAGTGGATAGAGCACCAGACTCGGGAGTCAGGAGGACCTGAGTTCAAATGCGGCCTCAGACATATAACACTTACTAGCTGTGTGACTCTGGGAAAGTCACTTAACCCCAATTGCCTCACAAAGCAATAATAATAATAATAACAACAACAACAATAATTGATGATGATGATGATGATGATGATGATGATGATGATACAAATAGTAGTGGCAGCTAGGTGGCGCAGTGGATAGAGCTCCAGCCTTGGAGTCAAAAGGACCTGAGTTCAAAGTTGGTCTCAGACATATAACACCAGTAGCTGTGTGACCCCGGGCAAGTTACTTATCCCTGATTGCCTCACCAAAATGCAAAAAAAAAAACCAAACCCAAAAAGCAAAGCAAAACAAATTCCTGGATTGGCCCTGTCCACCAGATATACATATATACATACATATGTATATGTGTGTATACACATGGACATATTTGTATGTATGCATATTTATGTTCACATGTTTATCTCAATGTACTTGTGTACATATACATACATATTTTTGTATATACATATTTATGTTCATATATTATGTCTCAATCTGCCCCCCTGAACCCACCACCCCTCTGTCAGGAGGTGATTAGCATGTTTCATCTTGAGTCCTCTGGAACTTTGGGTAGGCATTACATTGATCAGGGGGCAGCTAGGTGGTTCCGTTGATAGAGTACTGGGCCTAGAGTCAGGAAGACTTATATTCCTGAGTTCAAATCGGGCCTCAGACACTTATTAGCTGGGCAAGTCACTTAACCCTGTTTGCTTCATTTTCCTCATCTGTCGAATGGCAAACCACCCTAGTATCTTTGCCAAGAAGACCCCAAAATGGGGTCATGAAAAGGTGGAAACGACATTGATCAGAGTTTCTTCCTCACTGTTTATGAAGAAGAAGGTCATGAAAGAAGAGTGGGCTCAGCACAATGCTCTAGATTTTGTACAATCTGCTTGTTTCCCTGGCCTAAGGCCTAATCATAGGCTCTTATCCTTTATTTGAAATCCGTCTTCTAGATCCACACTCCTTGGCTGTAGTTTTTTTTTTCTTTTTTACTTAGGATTAATTTCTCCCTCTTATTTTTCCTGTCCTTCCTCCCCTTTCCTTCTTGTTTTCCTATTAAGTGAAATGTATTTCTTCATCCTTCCATGTAAATGTGTGTATATTTTTTTTTTATCAAATCTTCCCTCCTTTGACCAGTTAAAATGAAAGTGAGGTTCAAGTGTCACTCTTTGCCCCACTCCTTCCTCCTTGTTTGTATAGTCTTCTACTTGCCCACTCAAATTATGTAAGATAATTCCTTCCCCCATATTCTGCTTCCTGCCTCACATATTCCTTTTCCCCTCCCTTTCCTTTCTTCTAAGATCATCAAAACATTAAAAAAAAAAACAAAACCCCTCTCCTAAGTCCTATTAGAGTCTTATTAGACTTCCTCTGTGACCTCTGATAATGATAGAGGGGGCACCTGCATCCTCTCTTTATATTAGAATATAAAAGTTCATTCTTGTTTAGTCCTTTATGATTGTTCACTCATATTTATCCTTTTATGTTGACCCTTGTATTTGCATTACAAAGTTTCTATTCAGCTCCATTTTTTTTTTCTTCAGCCATACTCAGAAGTCCTCTATCTTGTAAAAAAAAAATCCATTTTTCCCCTTTAGGATTATACTCAGTTTTGCTGGGCAAGTTATTCTTACTTGTCAGCCCATATCTTTTTGCCTTCTGGAATATCGTATTTCAAACTCTGCTTCTTTCTGATGGTAACTGCTAAATCAGTGAAAGCCTGGCTGTGGCTCTTTTCTTTTTCTTTTTCAATTTTTTCTACTAGCCCTCTAATTTATTTTCAATTATTTTCTCTAGCTCTCTCATTTGTAAAATCAATTTTATCTCTTAAAAAAACTTTTTTGCTTCTAGGAATTCTAGTTGAACTTAGATCCAAGTTGTGTTTCTATTTGAGGCTTTGTAGATGTAGAGGAGTCATTCTCTTCTGACTTTGTATCTTGAGGGTTCCTGTCATCATAATAGCTCTTTATAGTAGAAATTTTTTTTGGTTTGCTTCTTCTTTCAATTTTACTTCCTGTCTTTGGACTTTATCTTAGGGCCAGGTTCTGCGTACTTTTGTAGGAAATGGCTGGGACCATGCTTGGTTTTATTTTATGTCCTCTTTGGTGCTGCTATTGCTTTCTTAGGGCATTAAGTATCGTATTATTCCAGGATTTCAGTGACAGCTCAGGCTGGAGACCTATAAGTTTTCTCTGTGGCCATAGTGGTCTGATCCAGACCCTCTTGGTCTGAACTCTGCAAGTTTTTGATCTAGTTTTGGGTCTGAGCAACACAACTAGGGACTTGCCCCTGATGGAGCACCAGTAGACTGCTGCTGGATTTGGCCACCATAAGCCAGCTGGAAACTTCACAGGTTCAAAGTGTACCCTTTTGGTTTGGGCTTCCTGCTGTGGTCATTCCTGTTCAGGTTTCAGACTGGTCTGGTAGCTGGATCTGAGATCCAACTCTGTTCCCCAGATCAGAGTCACACAGCTGTTACACTCAGCTCCTCACTCTTCATTTTTCATCTGTTTCACGATTCATCAGCTCTTCCTTTAGTACACAGCCCAGGACCATCACTTTGATGCACCGGTCCCTTCCTCAGTCCCCCACTTGATCTGTGACCAAGCAATGATGTGTTATTCTGACAGTTGGCAACTATTTCTGCTCTTTGCATTAAGGTCGAGTTCCTGTGTGCTTTGTGTGGAACTTTTAGTCATTCTGATGCACATAGACCATCTGGCATTCATTCAGTTTCTCAGCCAGAATGTCAAACTGCTATTCCTGGGTAGACCCCATCAGTGTCCCCAGACTTCTCTTTATCTCCCTGTGCTGACCTGGGCTTCAAAAATGATGGGGGTTTTTTTTCACCATTTCCAAATTAGAACACAGTTTGATGTTTTCTAGATCTTTCTGGAGTAGCTGTAGGGGTGTGACTGGATTATTTCTTTCTACTCTACCATTTTGGCTGTGGCACACCTTATTTCTCTCTCTCTCTCTCTCTCTCTCTCTCTCTCTCTCTCTCTCTCTCTCTCTCTCTCTCTCTCTCTCTCCACTAAAGTACAATTTTGATATTTTACAGATGAAGAGAGCTTAACCTTTAACTTGCTAGTGAGTGTGTGAGGAGAGATTGGAATCTAGGTCTTTAGTGTCTCTATGCCCCTCCCCTACCTCTAATCCTCAGTCCTCCTTCTTTTCCTCCAAAACAAAATCAAATTAACTGGTACTTACTGAACATGTGCCAAGTGCAAAGCAATGTACTAGGTGCTTTGTGGGCCATAGAAATATAATACTGAAGACCTGCTTTCAAGCTTGCATTTCTAATTGGGGGATGCCTACACACATAAAAAGTTAATAGCACAAGGTTTAGATAACAACTGAAGCCAGCAAGAAAGGTCACAATTCCATTCAATTTATCAAGAATAGATTAAGCCTAGGTGAAAGGAACAAAGCAGTGTGGGATAGTGGCCTCAGAGCCAGGGACACCTAGGTTCCAGTCTGTGACACATATTGGCTGTATAGCCTGGACAGGTCACTGAACCTTTCAGTGCCCTGAGGAGCTCTCTAAGATTGTGAATTGTAGAGTAGATGCAGGTCTGCATTGCAAGTGAGAGTTCCTATACCAATAAAATTAAAAGTCTGGTAAAAAAAATCATAACAAAGGAAAACAAAATAATTAAATCCTAAACCAAGCAAGGTTCTGTGCCAGATACTGGGGAAATAACACAACTGAAAAGTCCCTGCTCTCAAGGACTTACACTTGGAGGGTGTGACATGTATATTGATAATAAAATGCAAGGTAATTTAAGGAGAGAGATTACATGCTGGGGGTGGGGGTAAAACGGGGGAGAGCTGGTAGGGCTTCCCTAAAATTTGGAAAAATTCCAGTGGAGGAGGTAGGATATTCCAGACATTGGGAGGATGAGGGCAAGCTATGCAAAGATATGGAGACAGGATTTTGGAACTGAATCCAAGGAGTAATGTGAATTAGATCTGGAAAGTTGGGATGGAAGGGCTTTTATTTTTATTTATTTTTTGGCAATTGGGGTTAAGTGACTTGCCCAGGGTCACATAGTTAGTGTCAAGTGTTTGGTCTGAGGCTGGATTTGAATTCAGGTCCTCCTGACTTCAGGGCTGGTGCTCTATCCACTGTGCCACTTAGCTGCTCTGAAGGGCTTTTAAAATGCCAGGCTGAGGAGTTTGTGTTTTATCCTAGAGGCAAGAGAAAGCTACAGAGAAGGCTTGAGCAGGGGAAAATAATTAATTTATGGCCAAATGGATGTTAGAGACAAAAACCTCTAGAAGAAGCACAGAGTATTGATTCAGATTTGGTGGGTTTACAGTGGGGTCAGGTCTCAGCTGGGTCTTGAAAAATGGTAAGATTTAGGCAGATGAGGAGAAGAGGGGAGAGCATTCCAGATTATGCGGGCAGTAAGAAAGGAATGGCTTGAGGAACACTGTAGGCAGAAAGCCCAGGTCAATGAAAGGGATCAGTTTGAATGAAGGTTTGTATAACAAGAATAACTAGAATTTCTATAACACTTTATTACTTGAAAAGCACTTTACAAATATTATTTCAACATATCACAGCAACCCTGTGAGGGAGTTGCTACATTTATCCCCATTTTACAGAAGAAACCGAGAAATGTTGTCCAGGGTGTCATACAGCTCTTTCTACTTTTTCCATTGCTCCATCCAACTAACCATAAGGAATAAGTGAGACATAGAGCTGGAAAAGCAGGTTGGGGGAAATTGTGGAGGGTGGGGAATGCCAGACTAAGGAATGTAGACTTAATACTGTCCACTGGAGAGCCATTTCAGGTTCCTGAGCAGTTAAATTGAATCAATTTGAAGTGACACAGTGAGGACGGGGAAGATTATTCTGACAGGGTTGTACAGGGTTCATTGGAGGAAGAGGCTTGAAGGAGCAAGAATAGTTAGGAGGGTATTTGCAATGTCCAGGCCAGAGGTAATGAGGGTCTCAAAGAGTGTGAAGGCAAGGGGAAATGCAGTGGGGGAGTGAGTTCAAGTATCAGTTTAAAAGGGGAATTTTTATAGGACTTGGTGAGTGTTTGAATGTTTGAGATGAAGAAAGTGAAGAGTGAAGACTTTGATCTCCAAGGTTTTCAGTCTGGGTTACGAGGAGAATGTCAGTAATTTCCCTAGTAATAGGGAAGTCAGAAGAAGGAGCAGGTTTGGAGAATGAGGAGATAAGATAAGTAAGCATGCTGATTTTGAAATGTCAGAAAGATATCCAAATAGTGATGTCCAGCAAGAATTTGGTTGGTTTTTTTTTTCCTTTTAGGCAATTGGGGTTAAGTGACTTGCCCTGGGTCACACAGCTAGGAAATGTCAAGTGTTCGGTCTGAGGCCAGATTTGAACTCGGGTCCTCTTGACTTCAGGGCTGGTGCTCTATCCACTGTGCCACCTAGCTGCCCCTCCAGCAAGAATTTGGAAAATTGGGACTGAACAACAGCAGACATAACAGCTGAAAATTAAAGTCATGGAATTTAGATCTGCAGGGTACTTGAAAGCCAATCCTTTACCCTTTTACAGATGAGGAATGTGAGATCCAAGTAATAAGCATCATAGTAGTAACATATCAGGTAGTAAGCATCATAGGTGGGATTGAACCTCTATTCTCTGACTCCTGAATCAGTGATTCCTACCATACCGTAGTGCTTCTACTGGAGGCAATTACTTAGATGTGACAGTTTGAAACCATGTCCCTATCTATCTTTTCAGTTTATCACTCCAATCACCCTGCCCCCATCTCTCTGCCCTCCTCTTCCTTCAGATTTCCTCCTCTCTGTCCCTCAATAAACCTCCTTTCCCCCTCCTTCACTCTCTTCCTCTCTTTCCTTAAGTATCTCCTGCCTTTTCCTTCATCTCTCCTTCTCTATTTTCCACTCTCCTTTCTCTGTCCTTCAGTCTTCTCTCTTAGTCTCATTTCTCTCTCTCTTATTCTCCACTCCACCCTTCAGACTTCCCTCTCTCTGTCCCTCAGTGTCTTCCTTACTCAGTCCCACAGTATCTCTTCACGATAACAAAACTGGTGGGATTTTAGATACCATAAGCAGGGAGGGGGTGACATAATGATTTAGGGAATACTTTTTCTATATCCCTTAGATCATACCAGGACCACATCCTAGTCTATTCATAACTCCCCAAAAGCTTCTGCCTCCTGGAGACAGTACCATTTCCCATCCCATCCCACCTCTCTGCTCACCCCTAGACCTTCACATTCTTCTTACATCTACTCATCCTTAGGTCCTTGGGCATGAAGCTCCGTGGTCTCTTAGACCGTAAGGGCTCTTGGAAGAAGCTGGATGACATTAGAAAGATCTTTTGGTGCCACAAGACCCCTACTTCAGGTGAGGAAGGGAAATGGAGGAGAGTCTGGTGCTAAAACTCCATTTCTGCCTATGTTCCACTCTGTCCCCTGCTTCTTTTGGTCTGGGAAAGCTCCTAGTTGCTGCAGTAAGAATTTTCCAGCTCCTCTAGGCCTTTGAGAAGCCAACTTCCTTCCCTCTTTTCCCTCCTCAGGCTTCCTCTTAGTAAAGAGTTGGGGAGGTGTCCCAGCTCCTTATACTCACCCTCAAATCCTCTTGCTCTGTTAATCTGACCAGTCATTTGTCCTCATAGAGGCATCCAAGCCTAATGGCACCCTCAGAGACCCAAGCATAGCATCAGCAGTCCCCTCTGACACCTTCCCCTCCTAGCCATAGAATGGGGAAGGAGAGACTGAGGAGCATTCTCTCTCTCTTTTTTTTTTTTTTTTGGTGAGACAGTTGGGGTTAAGTCACTTGCCCAGGGTCACACAGCCAGTAATATACATGTCAAGTGGCTGAGGCTGGATTTGAACTCAGGTCCTCCTACCTCCAAGGCAGGAGCTCTATCCATTGTGCCACCTAGTTGCCCCGAGCATTTTCAATCTATGCATATTGTGGTTAGAGAAAAGGGAAAGGCAATGGAAATGGAGGGGGTCTTGTCCTGGGGAGTCAGGAGAACTGGATTCATTTGAAGTTCCAGCTCCCTCACTCTCTAGCTGTGCAACCTTGGAAAATTAGGTAGAGAGGATTTAGCAATCTTGTGTATCCAGGGAATTAGCAGAAATGACTTTCCTGCCTTTTTCAACCTACAGAGTATGTGACGGAGCATTGGAAAGAGGACCATTTCTTTGGCTACCAGTACCTGAATGGCGTGAATCCTGTCATGATTCATCGACTCTCCAGCCTGCCCAGCAACTTCCCCATCACTGACCCCATGGTGGCTCCCTCCCTAGGTCCCAGCACCTGTCTGCAGGCTGAGCTGGAGGCAAGGGATGGCTAGGGCCATCCTCAAGGACTGAGCCTGGGCTGGGGCTACCAAGGGGAGATGGGATGAGGGAAAGAGTTAGAATGATGGAGGAGAGAGTGAGGACAGGTTTATGGAGACGGTCAAAGAAAGAGGGAGGGAGGGGAGGGAAATATGCTACAGAAAAGGTAGGCAATAGGATTGGAAGTAAGGTGAAGGTTAGTATTGAGTCTAGGAGAAGAGAGGTTAGGATTAGAGATATCTAGAAGGAGAGGAAGAGAGTTAGGTGTGGGCAAAAAAAAGGATTAAGCTTGGGTTTGGCTTTGGGTTAGGGACAAAGAAAGAATGTGATTGTTTCTATAACTGTAGAGATCACTGTATTTAGAACAGGAAGGGATCTGGGAGGTCATCTAAACCAATCCCCTCAAATAGTTCTGGGCACTGTAACTCCAGAGAAAGGAATTTGGATGGCTCTGAAGATAAATTAAAGGCTCTTTTGGTTTAGGGAGAAAAGTGAAAGTGAATAAGCTCAAAACCCATAGGAAGAAAGTGGCTTCATTCATCAGCTCCCCCCACCCCCCAACCCCATTCCTTAATCATAGGAACTGGAAATGATCTTAGAGTCCATCCTAGTCATTTTACAGATTTGGAAACTTGAAATTCAGAGAAGTTAAATAACTTGTTCAGTGTCACACAGTTAGTAAGAATCTAAGGTGGGATTTGAACTTTAGGTCTCTCTAGGCCCAAGTCTAGTGCTTTATCCACTGTAACATACTACTTCATCAGTAAAGAAGCCATCAACACCTACAAGATAAATATAATCTCTTGATTTAGTTGGAGAGATATGTATCTAGATAGGGACAGAGAGAGTAAAAGAGAGAGGGAGATCTAGATAGAGAAATAGATTATTGTTGTTCAGTCATGTCTGACTTTTTATGACCCCATGGACACCAGGCTCTTCTACCTCCCACTATCTCTTAAAGTCTGTCCAATTTCATGATTGTTGTTTCCATGACACTATCTATCCATCCCATCCTCTGCCATCCCTTTTTCCTTTTTCCTTCCATCTTAGAGATAGCTATCTAAAGAGAGAGAGAGAGAGAGATTGAGAGAGAAAGAGAGAGAGAGAGAGAGAGAGAGAGAGAGAGAGAGAGAGAGAGAGAGAGAGAGAGAGAGAGGCAAACATACATAATCAAGGATGTGGACATAGTTTTTAAAAAAGCACCTTGCGGTTGATGGGACTGAAGCTAGAAATAAAGAGGCTCTCCGAAGAGGTGTCACAGACCCGACACTTCTATAGGCTCCGTAGAATGGACACATTCATTTGTAGAGAAAAAAACTAGGGATGTTTGGGGCTCTCCTCTTACTTTTTAAAGACAACATTGTTAGACACCCCCCCGCCCCAATGTCCTTTCATACCATGCTCCTTGGAGTGCATGTCAATTGTTCTGTTTAAGTTGCGTCAAACTTAAATAGAAGGAAGCTACTACACGTTACAGAAGGATCCCTGGCCACATAATGACTTAGAAAAACCACATATTCACATTATCCACATTCTATTGCATTCTTATTTATTTTGTTAAATATTTCCCAATTATATTTTAATGTTGTTCAGGCTGCACTTGCAGCCAGCCCTAGTGTGCCCAGCTGGCCTCATGTTAGACACCTCTAGTAGGGGAAAGAGTGCTTGACTTGAAGCCCGAGAAGTTGTGGGTTCAAGTCCTTGATCTGACACAACTTCTGTGGGACCTCAAACAGATCACTGTCCAATCCTCCACCTTTAAAATGAGGATAACACATGCAATACCTACCTCAAAGAATATGCTTTGTAAATCCTAAAATGTTAATATAAGAGATTTTTAATTTGTTTTTAAATAGCTCCTTGGACAAGTCAGATTGATTCAGTCTAATGGGCCGTACCTGTTTGGATAGGAGAGTGTCAGATGTGGGTTGGAGCTAAGCCCATCTTATTAGCTGTTCCTCATTTGTAAAATAAGATAAATAATAATTATATTATCTCATTCACAGATTGATTCTGAGGAAAAGGCTGCAATAAACTTTAAAAATGCTATATGAATGTGATTTAGAATTATATGGATAGAATGCTGGACTTGAAGACCTGAGTTCAAATCCTGCCCAAGACACTTATTAGTTCTATGACCCTGGACATTTAATCTCTGTGTGCCTATTTCCTTACCTGTAGAATGGAGTTAATAATAACCCCTACCTCCCAGGGTTGTTGTGAGAATCAAATGAAATAACATATGTAAAGCACTCTGCAGACTTTGAAGTGCTATATAAATACTAGCTGTTATTATTATTATTATTAAGGTGTAGTTAAGAGATAAGCTTAGGGTTTGGGATCAGATAAGAGATACGATAAGATATGAGAAGTGAGATATGACAGAAGGACTGGTGTTGAGGGTAGGGGCTAGGAATAGAGGGTTAGAGCTAGATTAAGGGTTAGATTTAAGGTTAAGGGATAAGGATGGAATCAGGGTTAGGGTTGGAGTTATTTCTTTTGTGTTGACTTGGCTGTTACCTGGAAAGTTTGAGACAAGATTTTAGGGAGGATATCTCATTGGCACCGTGAGGCAGCAAGGTTAGTGGACCATGTCGCTTATCATGAGACATTGCTCAGTAGGGAAGCAAGTAAGGGCCAAGATGCATCCAGGAGCCTTTGGAATAGTTATGTGGTTTAATCATAGTCAGAATTTGGGAATTCTTGAGGTCACATTCCTGGCATTGCAGTCAGAGTGAAGTCATCAGAATGTAAATCTTTATTGTGGGGGAACTAATGTCTGAGGCCCCAGGCAGGAGAAGGAATTCCGGAGGCTTTCAGGGAGATAGAGAGGAGAGACAGAGAAACCAGAGATTGTTGGAAACAGGAAGTCCTGCAGATACAAAGTGGATGGCTAAGACTAAGACAGTGAAGAGGTAGACCAGATTGAGTTGGTGTTTATAGACTAGAGGCATTTAGGGGCAGGAATTTGGAGGAAGTGAGTTGGAGAGGGGAGAAGGGGAAGTGGTGGGAGACTAGGGAAAGCTCTTGCCCTGATTCTCCATGTGTGTTATGTGTTAACCAGAAGGGATCAATTTTCCTGGCTGATTACTGGATCCTTGGGGATACTCCTGTGGGCCAACTGAATGGCAGGCCCCAATATGTGGCTGCCCCACTCTGCCTGCTTTGGCTTAACCCTCAGGGTGTTCTTTTGCCCTTGGCCATCCAGGTGAACCGTCCTTGGGTTTGATCTCTGGGGAGGGTCTAGGTCCTGTCTGATGGAAGGGAAGGGGAGGGGAAACTGGGGACACTAAAGAAGGGGTAGAGGGGGTGATATTGGCTGGTGAAGGAAAAGCTTGAAAGGTTAAAGAAAACTAAAGGTATGGGAGAGGACTGGAGACAGAAGTGAGAGATGTATCTTCATCTCTATTTCTCATTAATCTCAATACCCTCTCTCCAATCCCTCCTCTCAGCTCAGCCAGACCCCTGGTCCAGACAGCCCCATATTCCTGCCCAGCGACTCAGAATGGGATTGGCTCTTGGCTAAGACCTGGGTGCGAAACTCAGAGTTCCTCATCCATGAAAACAATACTCATTTCCTCTGCACCCATCTCCTCTGCGAGGCTTTTGCCATGGCTACCCTGCGCCAGCTTCCCCTCTGCCACCCGATCTACAAGGTGGGCCTGGGGGAGGCAAGCTGGACTCGAGCCAGGGGTGGGAGCATTGATGGGTGGATTTAAATCTTACCCATCTCACTTACAAATCTGTGCCCCTGCCTAGCTCCTGCTGCCTCATACGAGATACACACTCCAAGTGAACACCATTGCCAGGGCCACCCTGCTGAATCCTGAGGGTCTGGTGGACAAGGTATGGGTTTGGGTTTCCTGAGGGAGGATCTCCCTTGTATATAGTCCTGTTGAACTCACCAATCAACTGTCTATTGGTTCATTTCCAGGAACTCTGTCATGGAATCCTAAAGTCACCTTGTTACTAACAACAAAATATGAAACAATATGCAATTACAAATGCCCATAGTACCCCTCTACTAAATCATACCTCCTTTCCAGGCAGTAATCCCTTAGAGAATCCCATTTCTGACCCAAAGATCAGTACAGCATGAAACACTTATCTGTTATGTGGTGCTGGCTATAAACTCCATGCTATTTCCATACACGTTCCCTTATCCCTATTCCTAGTCCTAACCTTTTCTTGATTGATATTTCTCATCGTAACCTTTTACTTATCTTTTCCTAACCCTATCCCCTAAGTCCAGGGAGCCTGGGAATGATGCTTTTCCTCAGAGGCAGAAGGGACTGGCTTGTTGAGGAAGATAACCTATGGTTACTTCTTAGGTCACATCCATTGGGAGGCCAGGCCTCCTCTACCTGATGAGTGCAGGCCTAGCACATCTCACCTACACCATGTTCTGCCTCCCAGACAACCTGAAGGCCCGGGGGGTCCAGTGCATCCCCAACTACTACTACCGAGATGATGGCATGAAGATATGGGAAGCCATTGAGAAGTAAGGGAACAGTTGGAGCAGAAAGGGTCCTGGCCACTGAAATGGAGTATCTTTAACTCTTTCTTTCCCCTTAGGTGAACTGAGAGTCAAAGAACCAGTCCCTCTGTCCTGGGGGTGGGGGATGATGCTTGAAGGTAGGAAAATGGACAAGAAGGGATTTCAAAGGGAAGGATTTTAGGACCAAAGAGGGTAATATGTAGGGGAATCTAACTGTGCCTTCTGGGTAGGAGGGAATTGCAGTGGATAGAATGCTGGACCCAGAGTCAGGAAGACCTGAGTTCAAATCTTGCCTCAGATACTCGTTAGCTATGTCACCATCAGTAAGTCATTTAACCTCCGCCTACCTTTGTTTGTAAAATGCGCATAAGTATAGCACTGACCTACCAGGGTTGTGAAGATAAAATGAGATAACATTTATTAAGTGATATGTAAACCTGAGAATACTATGTACATGCTAGCTATTATTTTCTCTCTTAGCTTCGTCAATGAAATTGTGAATTGCTACTACCCCAGCGACATCTTTGTGCAAGGGGATTCAGAGCTCCAGGCCTGGGTGGGCGAAATTTTTACTCAGGCATTCCTGGGCAGGAAAAGTTCAGGTATTCATAATGGTAGTTCCCATTCATACCACACCTACAGGGGTTTTATGTTAAGGCTAAATATAACTCCAAATTTGGCCACACATCTGTCCCTAACCCCATTTTCTCCTTAAATTTGACCCTATTCCTCTTTCTATCTTTAACCCTGATCCTATTACTATCCTTAACTCTGACCCTTTTCCTGTCTTCATACTTATACCTTATACCTATATACTCTATTCTTGTCCCTAATCTATGACCTAGTTGCGTCCCTAACTCTGATAGTATCATTGTCCCTTTATTTCCGTTCATTTCAACAATTATTGGATGTAGAGGAAACAGAAGTGTAAGATGGGGTCCTGCCTTTAGGGAACTTACGGCCTTATTGCAGAGACAAGGAACCCCCCATGCGAAACAAGAGGAAAAAATGTAAGGCAGAATTGACTTTGCCTCTGTGTCAGCCCTCTTATCCATCTTTCTTTGATTCCCTGGCATACAGCCCAGAGTGTTTGTTTCAGATTTTCCTTCTTTCCTCCAGCCTGAATCTCACTGCTCCTTTCCCAGTCTCTGTAAATCTTGTCTTTTTCAATATTGAGATTGAGACTTGCCAGTGTGAATGCTTCATCTATCTTCATTCCCACCCTAGTATATTTCTATTTCTTCTCTTAAGAAGATGATGTAGCCATACTTGCCAAGGGTACACTCTCCACCAGTGCCCTAAATCCTATCTCTTCTTTTCTCCAGGAGAAGGCTTGGTCCATTGATCATCCCCCTTTTCTCATCTACAATCTTTTTCTTGCCGCTGATTCTCCTCCAGGCTTTCAATGCTCCAAGGGCTTCCTATCCTAAAACAAAACAAAACCAAACCCCTCCTTTGTCACCTAGCTAACTGAGATGTAATTGCTGAGATGGCGATCTCCTGAATCT